CGGTATAGTTGAAGTGAGGCTTTCCATATGTTAAGCCGAACACCCATAGGAAGACCGAATCTATTATCGTGGCCGCTTGCCAACTCTATGAGCTGAACTCCAGGGGAATTGCAATAGTATACATTATAAATAAAGAAGGATGATTGAGAACGATAACAAATCCTGATACATGTATCATGTAACGAATTAATTGTTTTACGTGAAAAATTAATACAGGAATACCATTACAAAATGATTTGTCAGATCTAAAAAAATATACCGATATTGATATTCATAATCCATAGTAATACATTTACTGCTTTCGTAAGTTCTTTTCCATATATAGACTGGTTGACGCACAAAAGGACTTCGTGGAAATCTGACGATGAAAAACTACACACTTACAGATTTCTATCCTTAAGTGATATTTAACAAAATCGATATTCGTTCCATCATGCACACAGATTTGTTTAGAATATGTTTACCTCTCTGTATTTCGAATGTGTAAACTGTACCATTGTTTCACAGGCACTTGTCTCTGAAAAAAAAGCTTTCATTTCTAAACACATTGGACGAAACAAGTGTCTATAGAGCCAAATTGTTTTCTTTGTTTTGCGTATTACGTAAAAAAAACAAATAAAAAACAAACAAACACAAAATATAGTTTACAAAATCTTTTGAAAATAAGAAAATTAGAATTTTTCAACTGGACATTTTAGTCATAAGTATCCTAAATCATTATTTTGGTTCAAAATGAAAGCATTGTATATTACTAAATTTTATCATCGGTACAAGGACATCATTTGTAAATATAAATCAACATGCAGACATATTATGCGTTCAGGTATTTCACATCCAATCTCTTATGGTAATATTCTATACAAAGCATTTTTGCGCCTGTCCCAAGTCAGGAGCCTCTGGCCTTTGTTAGTCTTGTATGTTTTTTAATTTTAGTTCATTCATATGTTTTGGAGTTTAGTGTGACGTCCATTTTCATTGAACTAGTACACATTTTTGTTTAGGAGCCAACCGAAGACCCATTGGTGGCCTTCGGCTGTTTTCTGTTCTTTGGTCGGGTTGTTGTCGCTTTGACACATTCCCAATTTCCATTCTCCATTTTATACTGATGTGATAGTTTAAAATTTTGAACGAGAAAATATATATATTAGAAATGGGCGACTAACTGTGTGGTAGTTACTTTATTATGGCTGTGTTTATATTTGTGACGTGTTTTTCGTCAGCTGGTAGGTTTTGAAAAGTTCACGTGGCGCTAAAAAAAGAGGCACGGCCTAACAATAGATTTTTGAAATATTGAAATAAAATGAGCCCATTAAAAATTGAAAAAGTTATTTGAAAAACAGTGTGACACCATGTCTCCGAAACAGGTCTTGTATTTCTGGCATTCCTGCAAGTTATCGATAAGAATGCTTATTTTGATCAACAATATGCAATAAACGTCATTGCAATCTATTGTACCTTAATTGGTATTCATTAAGTGTTTGGTTAATTGTCTAATCACTCGAATGAGAATCTACCAGAAACGTACGGCTTAATTGAACAGTTACAATAATTATTTCTCTAAGTTCAACATTCATTGAGATTAAATGCTGGTGTTTTGAACTTAGTGTCAATATGAGGGAAGGTTTGTGTTTCAATTAATAATATTTGACGAAGATGTGTGATTGGTTTTGATGTCTGATTTAACGACAATGTTAGATGAATTTTTCACTGATATATATTATGTTGTATACGGATCTATTTGTTCTGTGTGAATTGGATGTAAATGCATATTAATTATTCTATATAACTTTGAGGTTGTCTGGGAAGTAAAGGGATTGTTTTTCATGTTCAGAATGAAATGTTCCGTGTTGAAAGAAAAATTTGTTCACATTTCTCCCGATGCTCGTTATCGTTATGGATTATCACGTGATGAAAGGCTAAAGCAGGGCAAATTGGTAAGGTGACATTTTTTCTTATCATATTTTAACGCCGTGTTTGAGTTTTTTATTTTTTCTCGTCATGATCAAAACTTACCTGCTAGCAAAGGAAGAAAAGCACATCAATACTAACTTATAATATTAAACAACTGGTTTATGGTGTACCGAATACGGACACAACAATAAAAAACCTAAATCACAATCACTTAATTTGACATATAATTGAATAGTGTTTTATTTAACATTTATACGAAATGAATGCAAGTAGCATTCATATTTTGCATGAAGCTCGGGAAATAGTTTTCAATTCTTAAATTTACAGATTTTCAGATAAAAATATAAGTTAAATTAATATTTTGAATCTGAAAGTAAAACTTTAAACACAAAACATCGGCAGATGTTGTCTATGAGATGAAAGCAGTATGTTTTTCAAATAAATAAAATTTGATTGCGATTCTTTTAAAACATAACACGAACATATTTAATGCGAAAAGTTAGTGTTGATGAAATCGGTTATCGGAGCTAATTACTTAATACTCTTAGGTTGCTTCCATACGATCGGCACGGGACGTTTGCGCTTTTTTAATTGCGCTTTAATTTTTAGGACATTAGTGCTTTATCAACATAACAGTTAAAAGTTGAAAAAAATCATTTAATATCAAAACACAATACATTAATATATTTACAAGTCTAAATTGAAAACAACGTTCAAACCTATGATTGCTTTGGGTAAAAACCGCAATTTTTATACGTGTGCATGCAAAACAAATTTCTTGGTAGAGGGGTCTAAATACAGCACAAACAACATTTTCCAAAAGACCAAAAAAGTGAAAAAGTATATTTTAACAAAACGCATTTGATTAGAAGGTCGATCAATGGATGTTCTTAAACCCTGCTGACTGCAATTGGCGATTGCCAAATAAACGGATCACCAGATGTAACAAAATCGATCTTAACTAATATATACACATAAAATACTCACTCTTTCGCGATCATACGTAAGTCAGATAAAAAACGACAACACTTCAACAGGGCGGATGGAAGTAAATTCCTTATAACAACCATGACTCTTTCTAAAGTTAACATGAACAGCAGCGGTTTTTAAAAATCCAACTTTGGTGTTTTATAAATTGAAATTAGCTTAGATAAACCATGAGCGTACAGTTACTCGGACTATCAATGCAATAGAATGGACACAAGAGGAATAGAAATTCACGAATTTCATAAGGCTGCTTGAAGAATGTAGAGAAATATTTAAATGCTCCATCCATAAACATTTCGTTTTCTCTATCGATTACCCGAATATTTGTTTCTTTTTTTTTTGTTCGAAAGACCTTTCAAGGAATATGTGAACATCTTTCAATTCAATGACTTTGGTAAAATTGGTTTAAGATTACAGGTAAACTGTCATAGATAAAAGGCGCGAATGTCCGGTCAATTTAGTTCAGGTGTATTAAAGTTTAAAACGCAAATGTCTATAATATTAGAAGCCCAAATATCTTTACTTACGTGTTACAGGTAACAAAAACCGCAAATGTCCTGCGCCACATACGACGTATTTTTTTTATACGAAATAAAGCATACGACGGATTCAAATGATTCGTCTTTCAGCCAATTAAAGATCATCATTTGTATGAATTGAACATCTTCTGTAAAAAATTTTGAAAAAGAACCTCGTCTCATAACCATTCTATAACTTTCAATACGTTGTGAATTCATAACGTATTGAAAGTTATAGAATGGTTATGGTTGTGCACTTCCGTTAACATACAGATTGACACAATTTGTTTGCATAAGAAATGAAAACAACACTTTATAAATTGCATACGTCCGAACCGCTTTTGTGGATTTACCTTCATCAAGAATGCTCAAAGCCGAATGTTTGAAAGCCAGAGATGTACACGAACCGAAACAGTTGAAGAGCTTAATGACCAAAAAGGACCTAAAATAATAGATCAATCCACCCAAGGTCAACGTTGTCTAAGAGAGTTGAAACTTTAGTTTCTAAATAATTGAAATATTTCATATATACACAAATAATGTTTTAGTTTGAACTTATTAATGATTTGGACAAACGAATGCATCAAATTCAAATGTCATTTTTAAAAATGGTCTGAAATATTTTAACTTATTGAAAAAAACCTTCAATTAACTATCAGCAAGTGGATGCAAAACAAGAAAATCACAACTTTGGAATGTAAATTGATTGGTTGATTGATTGTTGCTTAACGTCTGTAGAATGTAGAAAATATTATTAAAAAATAACTGAACCTGAACTGATTGATTGATTTATTGCTGGTTGCTTAACGTCTTTAGAATGTAGAAAATATATCTGAACCTGAAAGAAATATGTAGTATTTTTTTTCGTTTCTTTGTTTCTAATTTAAATCTTTAAGTTGATTTTGACATTGGTTTCTACGGAAGCATATGCAACGTGTAAAACAGCCACAACAAATGAAAATTTACAAAAAAGTAAACCTCTAAAGGACTGCGCACGCATACATCAATGATCAGCGATCCGATAACGTATTAAAAGTTGTTGAATGTTTTAACAACAGAGTTTCAACAAGTAGATTCTTCACTTTATGGTCCGTATTTGGTATTTCAACATCAAGTTTTAAACATTGTTTGTTTTATGCAGTTTTGCTGTAAACCCAGCAAAATTAAATATAGAATAGTTTATGTAAGAACAAACACATCTTCATACTCATAATTTGTCTGGAGAACCAACAAGATAACATGAGTTAAGCAAATATATTGGACACCTCAATATAATGCGACAACTACTAACATCCAACTCGCCCCAAGAAAGCAAAAGCATGCATCTCAAACGGTAAAGAACTACACAATACAATACTTGATGACGTCCACGTTTATTTCTCAAATACTAAATGATCACAAGTGTGACCTTTCCTCTTTAAATTTAATTTCACTGTTTGTTTTATTATTATATAAGGCTATCAATTTATTTGGGTACATACGGTTACCAAGCCAATTTGGGTACAAATGATTTTTTTTCATTTTAGAGTACTGATGTTTAAAAGTAAGAAACATCTTTTACGGGTAGAACTCTTTGTTTTGTAGGGTTACAATGATGGTGATGAATGTTCCTTAGAAGACAACTACTTAGGTTCAAAGGACAGTAGTGACAGTATGCCTTTGGGTCAATCTCAAGCACAAATTTATAATCGCAATGCTGACAAAAAAATACAAAGAAACCAAAACCAGAAGAAAAATGGATCCAATGACAACAGGACATTGGTACGTAAAGATCCATATACAGTCCTTATATATAACTGTTTTGAGGAATTTGTCATTTGTGATGTCATAAGCAACAAGCTCCCAAAAAACTAAAAATACTCTATTAAAGGATGCTCGCAGTTACAAATTAAACCTAATGATATAAAACCATGTCATAATACACTCTCAAGAGTCAGTGGCTGTTCTTCAGAGACATGCAGCAAAGTCATAAACAGTACAGGAAGATACAATTTTGTACAATGCAAGAATATAACTGATACAATTTCAAAGCAGAAAAATAAAAAAAAAACCATTTTAATCTTGCTTCAAAGTTTGAATGTCCCTTTTGTATCTTTCGCCTCTCTTTTTATAATCATTCCAAAAAGAAACAGACGCAATGCTTGAACACGAACAGAACAATTCTTCAACTTGTAAGCTTTTACACCCGAGATCACCCATTTTTTTATTGGTGGGCTTCGTTTTTTTTGGGGGGGGGGAGGGGATGGGAAGAGGTTCTTGATATTGATTTGTCTATTTCTCCTCGACTTATGGATTTTGATTGTTCTCTTGGTATCTGCCACCTCAATGTTCAACAATAGGAAAATCTTGAAGTCAAATATCCCTTAGGAGAAGGCTATGGCTCACATCTAAATGTTAATGACAAGATCTAGAAATGGGACCAGTCAACTGCATGGATTTTTTTTCAACCTAACGGATAAATGCAAGAAAAATTAAAAAAAAATTAATACTTTTTGACAGAATAATGTTAGCACTGAAGAATGTTATTTGGTGGAGTTATAATACTTTTTGATTTTAGAATTCAAGCGGCAAAATTTGGCATTCGTTCCTTTACCTGTTATCTATGATGAGTTTATTTACCTACATAAACCATTTAGCGCAACACTAAAATAGTCCAAACTTTTGAGTCTGTCGAAATTAGCCATCGTAGATTGCAGATGACCACAAGTTCAACATATTAATAACAATGAAATTTCAATTGTCAAATTACCTTTTAAACATATTTCTGTTTATTGAGGACATAAATGCGTATTTTTGGTATGTTTTCAAATTCATCTAGAAAATGAAACATATTTTCTGATAAAATTTGGAAATTGATATATCTAAATTATATTTTGAATATAGGATAGAAAAAGAGGAAAAAGTCCTTATAACCCGCCTCTGAGAAAACCCAAAAGATCACCACAAGCTTCAGAATTGACTGACAACAACCAGACCTTAGAAGGTAGGTTTTCAAATAAGAAAATATTGGAAAACAAGGTGATGCTAATGTTTCATCAACATTATAAATAAATATAAGTTATTAGTCCAATTGAAAGTTTGATCAGTAAACATTTAAAAAAAATATCTTGGAAGTAATTTTGAATCATAAACAAAATAATCGCGTTGCATTCTAGTACATTTTTGAAGATGACAACCAGAAAACAATTAAAAAATATAGGCAGTCACGAATTAAATATAATTTTATCACGTAACTCCGTCATTAGCACTTAATTTGCTAAAGAAGTATCAATATCAGTTCCAACCTCTTGTTACAGATTGGCACAATCGACAAAATGAATAGACGAAAAAAGAGAGTGAAACACTTGCAATAATCACAGTAATGTTTTAAATTAGATGAGTTTGTTTATGTTTTAGGAAGAAAAACAGAAAATGTAACGGTTAATGCGGAGGATAAAACAATTCTTTTGATTAGCGAGAATGTGTCTGAATATAGCAGGCAACGCATGCGCGCTCTACAGATGAGTTTACGTCATTACAGTAACGTGGACGGGCGGATTTCAGTCAAAGAACTTAATTTAGCCTGTCAGGTATGTTTTTTACCGTGATCAGTAATTTAATATTTCAGGAATTAAGATGCCCTTTAAAATGGTGATAGAGTTGACTTTGATAATGTTCTTTTTTTAGTTTTTAGTTTTTTTGTATTTTTTAGATTTCAAAATTTCATTCGCAGCCTTCAAACCAATGCTACGTATTATTTCGTGTTTTATTGCATCGACAGAATCATATTTTTCAAACTCTTTTTCTTCAAATCATTTATGTTGATCATAACTTTTACTCAGGATAACAATATCCAGTTGAACAGCAGAGTGCTACAGATCCTACAAGGAAAATTTGAAGACCAGCATGGTATAAATATAGAAAAACTGTATCAGTATTTATCAGAAGCACATTCAAGATCTGGTAAGTATCCTGGACGAATTCAAATATCATATTGTGTTCACTCTAAAAGTGGATATTATTTGAACAACACATATTCAGCTTTGGAAATCTTAAAGCAATGAATATTTGAATGCTTTAAATTAATGCAAATTAAAATATTTCACATAATTGATGGAGCCCTTCATTCTTTTAGCTTATTTAGTAATCCCTTACCAAGTATAGAAAAACTCTTTTTTTAACAACAAATAAATATTCCTCATTCTTCAGATTGCCTGTTACAATCAGTAAAAAACTCATCAAAGATACCAGGCTAATAATTTTGTACGTCAGATGTGCGTTTTGTTTACAAAAGACTTATCCGTGATGATCGAATAAAAACAGTTAAAAGGCCTAATAAAGGACGAAGTTGAAAAGCATTGAGGACCCTAAATTCCGAAAGATTTTGCCAAATACGTATATATTAGATTAATAACTCAACTTTTAAGTACTGTTTTTATATACTTTTCTAGGACGCGATAGTGTCATGGCAATGCGTTTAAGAAATGACCTAGAACCTCACAAGGACACCAATCAGGAAGAAAAAGATGCAGATTTACTACGTAGACTTGAGGAATTATTAGTTAAAGACAATACCTTCTTCGATATTGAAGCTTTGAGACTGGCATTCCAGTTGAAAGATAAACAGAAAACTGGCAAAATATCAAATGATGAGGTAAACAGAATTGTCTTGAATTATCCGAACTTTATTGTTTTCCTTTCGTTATTCTAAGCTAAACGAAAAGAAACTTTTAAAGTTTTTTTGATAATCTAGCGTAAAAATTTTAGGAGAAATTAGGTTCAGGAAATTCTTGTTGTGCTCTCAACACTTATTCACTTCGTATGATTTCGATCAACTTAACAGTAGTCGTCTACAGAACCTTTTCTAACCTCCCAACTCATGTTAAAAATACCACCAAAGAAAACAGACTTATAATTTGGAACGCCAGACGCGTGTTTCTTCTACATAAACTCATCAGTGGCTCTCGAATCAAAACATTTGGAAGGCCAAATCAAATACGAAGTTGAAGACTATTTAAACAAACAATTCCGAAAAGATGTGCCAAATACAACTAAAACAATCGCCTGCGAATAAAAATAAAACGCTTGTGTTTCGAAACTACAACATTTTATCAACAGTAAATTTACAGAAATGAACATATTATTGATATTTCATGTCAAACAAAAGTGCTGAATACTGGGATGGTGATACTCTCCTGGCCGTAACGTCCACCGGCAGGGGAAACGACCCATTCGTTTTTAAAACTCCAGGCTTACTATTTGGGTCACGCGCCTTTCGTCTACATAAGCTTCATAAATGTCGCTCGAATCAAAACAGTTGGAGGACGATATCAATTCGAAATTGAAGAGCATTTTAAAAAAAACCCAAAAAATTCCGAAAAATTGTGCCAAATACGTACAAGGCAATTAAAGGCATTCCGATACGGTAAGGAAACATTGTAAATTGTATGAAGTGGGAAAAATAAAAGTGTGTCGACAGGGTAAGAACATATTGTAACATACAGTCATCACATGTCTAGTAATTATATGTACCCAATACAATATAATAAGAGCATGGAATTTTATTAAATTAATTATAAATGATGCAAAATTTTGTTTTTTATTTGAGGTATTTGATATCGTTGCCTTGAAACAACAACCACTTTACGGAGCTCTTCTGAAGGCATTAGTAAAACGATGTGATATGGACAACCATAATATTGTAAGGTAAATGATAACATGTTTTAGACGAAAAGAATAAGATATACTATTTGCTATATAAAAGCTCTATGGTAAATTCTTAAGACAGTTGAAGATATCGGCCAAGACCGAAAACCCTTAAACAACATTTGGCAATGGATACCTTGCACATTTCTTAATCTGGTTCTGAAATCTACGAAGAATTGATTTCTAATTTTGCTGTACGTGGTACAATTTTATTATTTGAATGTATAAATTCTTTTTTAAATAAATAGCAAAGAGTTGATAAAGTTCAGTAATTACATGATGATAAATTTGGGGGATTGAAATGTATACTCTCACATTTTGTTAACAGTTGGCCAGAGTTTTTAAGCTTCCTGGACAAAGCACAGAAAAATGCATGGAAAAAATATCCTGAAATGTCTTCCTTACCTGAGTTGATGAAAAGTAAAACTCCCGTTGTACCAGAGGCATCAGATATCCTTTCTAATCAGACTAAATCCAGACTGGTAAACAGATTTCTAAAGAAGGTAGAAAAAGTTCACTCATTTCCTATTTTGTATCTTAAATAAATGACTCTTCGTGTATTTATATTTATATTTGAAGTCTGGTCTAAATGTATCAGGTGTAAGACAAAGCGTATAAACCTTTACATTTTTCATTTCCAATCAGTAAATCCAAAAGGAAATTTGGGACTATTTTAGAATTTCTAATATTTTACGGTGAAAATGAATATTCAATATTCATCAAAGTACCAATGAACGAAAATAGACCTACTCATGTATATTAAAATGTTGTTTAGGATGAAATTTGAATCATATTGTCTAGACATGATAATCAGCCTTCATTTAAATTTAATGAATTTCGACTGATTTCATCGACCTTTTTGAAAACCTATCTTATTGCACATATGAAGATAGTTGTAAAAAATTACTATCGTTGATAAAAATGTCTAGTTTAAGAAAATGACAAATTATACTCTGTTAAACCAATCTGATTACATTTTTTTTATCTGAAACTGACATAATTAATATGATTGATTATGTTATAGACGTCGATTTATTATATAACGTTTGGTGGACATGTCTTTCGATAATCCTTTTGTGAACTAACAGTGTTCATCTTCTCGTTGACCATCGCAAAACGAAAGGAAAGGGACTAGCATTATCGTTTAACTTCCCGCTATATAGATGATGTCCTCTCACTGAACAAAGCTTGGTTGCTATTGCTCGCATATATCCTATAGAACTTCAAATAAATTATACTACAGATACATTTAAGTCTGCTTCATGTCTTTATTAAAATCCAGAAATTGACTGTAAGGGTCGATTGAAAACAAATCTTTACGACAAAAGATATTATTGTAAATTTTCTGTTGTCAACTTTCCGTTTCCATATAGCTTCATTTCAACATAACCTGCTTCAAAATATAAAAAAGAGAAGATTTGGTATGATTGCCAATGAGACAACTCTCCACAAGAGACAAGATGACACAGAAATTAACAACTATAAGTCACCGTACGGCCTTCATAGTATTTTCCAGTTGATACGATATTATAGAATAACTATACAACAAGATAGATAGACCGTGAATATGATCCACGTGTCTAAGTTTCAATCCTGTCCTCTTTCCACACCACTTACGCCATCATTGAATGCGACTTCTGACCCGAACTTCAATTAAAGTGAGAAACACGACGATACTTTAAGTGCAGGAGAATCTTATTCTTCCTGAGCACCTTATTTCACCCTCAGTATCTGATTGAGTTGGTGTATCTCATGTTTTTAGTTTTCTGTGAAAAGTTTTGTGTTCTGTTATTTGTCTGTTTGTTTTGTTTGTTTTGATCTTTGTGTTGTCTGTCTTTTATTGACACATGGTTTTTATTGCCCCATGGTATCTTGTGCCATTTTTCATCATTATTTTCCCGTGTTCACTGTTGTACAAACTCGGAGCAGTGAAAAGTGATGTATATCGATATAAGAAGATGTGGTATGAGTGCCAATGAGACAACTCTCCATCTAAGTCAAAATTTATAAAAGTAAACCATTATAGGTCACAGTACGGTCTTCAACACGGAGCCTTGGCTCACGCCGAACAGTAAGCTATAAAGGGCCCCAAAAATTACTAGTGTAAAACCATTCAAACGGGAAAACCAACGGTCTAATCTATATAAAAAACGAGAAACGAGAAACACTTGTGAACCACCTCAACAAACGACAACTACTGAACATCAGATTCCTGACTTAGGACAGGTGCAAACAAATGCATCGGGTTTAAACGTTTTAATGGTACCAAACCTTCACCCTTTCTCTGAAACAACTAATGTAACATCCCAACATAGAAAGACACACTATCAACTGAAATAGCTTAACTCAATCAAAGGACATATTAACACCATTGAACATACACTGAACAAATAAATTTGACCTATGATACAATGTAAATACAAAATAAATAAACTAAGGGAAGAATAATAAAAGTAACATGTTATATCGGTATGAAATGTTAAACAATTAAAGAAAAACAATATGCTCGAACAAAAATATCAGCCATTTGCAATAACTTTAAACACATGTAAATGAAAATAATTTTGTTGTTAGGTATACGTGTACAGTTCCAATAGAGAAAGGAAATATTTTTACAAAATAAAAAATATTGATGTTCATAGTACGAAGTGAAAATTTATAGTAATACCAAACACTTATCAAAGCTGGTATATAGTCCAGATATAACCCTGAATAACATTAAATAACAAAAAAGCAATACAATTAGTATCAACAGGTCAAATAAACAAGAAAGTACGATATGAGAGTACTCGCAGTTACTGACAGCTAGTTAAAAGCCAAAACAATTAATCATAAAAAATCATGCAACAGAGACTAAAATCAACTAAAACACATCCCAGGGATTTAGTATTTTAACGTCATGGACAGTCAAAGAAGACATGACTAGTGCAATGCCAAAAATAAATGTATCGACAGACAGTAGGATAGTTAGGAGTTTAACCTCTTTATAGATCAAACGAACGTGGGTGTGTCTTTATACATCCCGTTTGAAAAGAATACAAATTTAGTTATGTTTTAATTTGCTGATGACAAAATCGATATTAGTGCCAATGTAAACTATATTCAAAGATCTAATTACAACATTGGTAAGATAACCTTTACTAATAAGTTTGTTTAAAGGTTCGATGAGTTTACACGGATCACATAGTGATTTCCGCGCTTTAATGCATGGTTGGATAAATCTGGTTTTATTCTCTGCACTTTAAGTCTGGTTCAAGTTGATTGACCTTATTTTTTCTTTTCCATTAGGGATCTATAAACAGAGGCGAAAATCTTAATAAAAAAGAAAAGTCTGAAAAATCAGAGGAAAAGAACAAAGAAAATGAAACAAAAGAAAAACTCGCTCAACACGAAGTGATTGAAGAACAAAAAGAAAATGAGAAGAGTGAAACGATACCACAAAGAGAAAATCAGGAGTCAGAGAAGGAGACCACAGACGAAAAACCAGAAGGTATATGATTTGAAAGATAAGCACATTTTAGAATACGATATTTATCACGTTTCCTTTAGTTATGAAATACATGTGTTCAATTAATGTGATTTCTTACTGTGCTTATTCAGTAGGCTTTGGGGTATTACAATAGCCATGGCTAAAACGGTTTACCAAATTGCAGTTTGAATTCTTCTCCAACAAACTGATCAACTGGTAAAATGTTTTAACAAATTGAATCAGTGAAGGTTGTAAGTATAAAGTGAGTGCAGTGAAATAAAAAGTAATACTTACCATCCAGCTCCAATTAGTTGATGTGTATGTCATGAATTCAAAAAAAAAATGACTTACTATAATATGAGTCACTGATTTATAAAGGTCTAACTTTGACATGAAACCTCTATCCTTAATAATCTTTATAGATAAATAGTTCAAAACATTGTTTTGAAGGTCAATAATTCATAGCTTTGTTTTCCAAGAGGAAGTTATTGTTTGATTGGGATTTGGATAATATTTTCTATAAGAATTACTAATTTTTATTGAGTCATTGTGTATTAAAGATACAAGGCTTATGATTTTGCCTAGAAATGATTCATCAATACAACTCGAATAAAAAAAAATTGAAATGCCAAATTAGTATGAAGTTGAAGAGCATTGAGGACACAAAATTCCAAAAGGTTTTGCCAAATATTGCTCATAAGTAAACTTTACTTTGAACAGTTCATAGTTTTGCAAAACAATTAATCTATAATTTTGACCATATCAATGAAAATTCATGTCAACACAGAATAGCTGACTACTGGGCTCACCGGTGATACCTTCTTAATCTACAGAGGAATCTGTATGATTTATATAACTTTGTATGTGCTCCATAATATGTTTTTAACAGTTTTTTCCAAAATTTAATCATCTTAAAAATAAATTTCAGTGTTCCTTCCAGAACAGAGGATAATAATTTAATAATCAAGGAAATAATGTTACAAACAAAATACTTATAAAATGAAGGAAAAAGTAAAATCACAAAAATGCTGAACTCCGAGGAAAATTCAAAACGGAAAGTCACTAATCAAATGGCAAAATCAAAGCTCAAACACATCAAACGAAGGAAGTTGATATTTGACAGATCAAAATTTTGCTGATTTTACAGTTATGTAAATTACTTCCTTCTAACTTTAGCAGATAAGTAATTGCTTTAGAAAAAAATATCCAAATTACAGTTACACACTAACTTGCTGTTAGAAAACAGAGCTATAAATTGTTGACCTACAAAACAATGTTTGAACTATTTATTTATAAAATTTATTTAGAATAGAAGTTTTCATGTCAAAGTTAAACCTTTTTAAATCAGTGACTCATATTATAGTAAGTCATTATTTTGTTTGAAATTCATGACATAGACATCAACTAACTGGAGCTGGATGGTAAGTATTCCTTTTAATTTCACTGCACTCACTTCATACAAACAACCTTCCCTGAATCAATTTGTTAAAACATTTTACCAGTTGATCAGTTTGTTGGAGAAGAATTCAAACTGCAATTTGGTAAACTGTTTTAGCCATTGCTAATGTGATACCCCACAGCCTACTGAATAAGCACAGTAATATCTTTTTATTGTCAGTTACTTAAGTGTTATTTTTCTATATGCAGTTAATAATATGCACTTACTAAGTGTTGTTTTTATGAGCACCTATGCACATTTGTATTGTTTAGATACACAGAAACCAGCGCTTCTGAAGACACCATCTGGCTTCTTGGGTACTTTTAAGTCTTTTATAGCAGGTATTGTATAAGCGTTTTTTATGATTACGCTTTGTAAAGTTTGAATCGTGAATGCAGTACTTTGTATATGTTATCCCTAAGGCCAAACAAAAATATGAAATTCATGTGTACAATCGACTGAACGCTCAAAAAAGAATATTTGAAAATAAAATAATTATTCTTTATAAAGTTTCTTATATAGAGTCGGAGATAAACATTGATAATAAATATACCACATGCATGTCTTATTTTAGCCTAATAAATGGTTTGCCTTCTTGGTGTACGTATTGAAACTTGCTTGCTCATAGTGTTTACAAACATCAATATCCCTGAATGTTCCCAATATCATAAGCTATCATTAGTGCATATAATCGTATGATTGGATGACATAGATAATGTTTGAAATGTTGCTGTGGAATTATCAATGCAAGTTTTCATTTAGATTTTATTTAAAGAAATTAAAATTTAAAAGAACGTCTTTCTAAAAATGAAATAACAAACTATAACTGAAACCTTAATTCTATTTCCAAAACAACAGCTTTTAATTTCACATGATCATGATAGTATTCAATGATTAAAGAAAAAATACTCAATCAATCCTTCTGTCTCCAGAATACTTATTTACATTTAAATGGTATTTTAGGTCGAAAGAAAGATGAAGAGGAATCGGAAGAAAAGATAGAATTAAAAGAAAAAAGTACTGAAAAAGAGAACACGAACTCGAAAAAAGAAGAAAGAAAGAATCCAGACAAAGAAAATAATCAAAACATAGACCAGGAGGAGACAACAGAGAGTGATAAAACCCAAGAAGTCAGTCCAAGAGACATAACTCTTGTTAAAGACACGGATAATTCTAAGAAAGACTTAAACACCGATTCTGGAAGTAATGAGAACCAGACAGAGGGCTGCCTTGAAAACCCTAAAACTGATGATATTACTGACAACGTGGAAGAAATGGAGAAAGAAGATTCAATGCGTGAGTTTATGTAATATCAGTGAATATAAATAAGAAGATGTGGTACGAGTGCCAATGAGACAACTCTCCATCCAAGTCACAATGTATAAAAAGGAAACAATTATAGGTCAAAGTACGGCATTCAACACAGAGTCTTGTCTCACACCGAACAGCAATCTATAAAGGGCTCCAAAATGACTAGTGTAAAACAATTCAAACAGGAAACCAACGGTCTAATCTATATAAAAAACGAGAAACGAGAAACACTTATGAACCACACCAACAAACGACAACCACTGAACAACAGGCTCCTGACTTGGGACATGTGCATACAAATGCAGAAGCACCTTTTTATACTCAATGCGGTAGTTTAAAGGGGCTATCCTTTTTTCTAATTAATATGAATTCAACGAGAAAGGTATGGCAATGGGAGTTAAACCTATGACTCCAAATTCGATTATCGAAAATGCTCGTGCGTTTGGTGTTTGTAAAATTCTTATGCATACTGTACTATTTAAGTAAGGACACGTCACGTTAATAAACATGTATATGCAAGAAGAGAAACTGTGAAAACACAAAAGAAATATATATTTATTGGATTTAAAACAAATTTGAAAAAAATAGCTAATGAACATTTTCGTACTCGCTTTTATAGAAAATACAGTTAACTAAACGCAAAGTTCAATTAACGCATTTTTCTAAGGTAAATTCCTAAGGTATACAAGTATAATTATCTGCACTGTAAAAATGAATGAGAATTATTTTTTTTCCTGTAGCAACAATAAAGGACAGCGGATGCTCAGATGGGGACAATCTTATTTTAACAAAAAATGGTCATACCATTGAATTTTCAAAACCAGTTGGATACGATACTGAAACAGTTAAATTAGAACCTCCTGAAGCTCGGCTCAAGCTTGACTGGGTGTAAGTAATATTCTCATCATACATTTGTCGGCTGTATATAATTAAAAATAATAAGTGTCAATCAACATGTATTATTTCTCAATTGAAAAATTAAGAATAATATAAAATGGTAGTAGAATTAGAGGATATATTTACTCTCATGGAAATCTTGAAAGTTTGGCTATCTATATTTACATTGTTCATTGCAATTTTTATTTCTTTTGAATATGAAAAATTGCCATTTACATCAGAGATGTACCATTTGTTAAAAATTTACCATAATATTTAAGTACCAATTGAATTTTAGGTATGGTTACCGTGGAAACGACTGTAGGAATAACATACATGTTTTAGCCAATGGAGAGCTGGTGTATTTCATATCTAACATTGTTGTTTTATATGATAAGGAAAATCATAAACAGAGGCATTACAAAGAACACACAGAATACATCAAGTGGTATATTTGTTTATTTGATTATTATTTTGGTAAACAATATGATGGACATCATCTGTCTGGTGTCACGTTTTCGTTTAATTTATATATTTGGACCCACAAATCAGTTCTTTACCTGATTTAGGAATGGTCATACCCATACCCTTTAGGAGAAGAAACTGTTGAGATTTAGAATCTCAACTGAAAGTCAAAATCATATCGGCTTTAAACTAAGTGAAAACTGAAATATGAAGGACATATTTCAGTTCCGTATATATTGTTTTCGCGTTTATATCAAAATTTGCCAAACTACGTCAAACACCTAAGAAGAGAATAATAAAAAAATCAATCACCGGTTACACTTATTATTGAGCATTTCTTATTAAAGATATACAACGTGTCATTATGCTTTAGAGGTAACCGTATTAATGCCGTTTTTGGTGTTTTTAGAATGGTTAGTACAGACCATAATTCTATTTGAGTTATTTGTGAGAATGGAGTAATATACACAATAAATAGTAAGACATGTTGTTAAGAGAACATTTTAAAATGTATACAATACATTAATATATTAATATATATTCAAGTAACGAAAATGTAAATACTTTTACAGTATTGCTCTTCATTCAAATGGTGTAACAATAGCTACGGGACAAGTATGTTCTAAGCATAGACCACATAACAAGGTAAGAAATATTACACAGATTGACACATTGTATACTTGAAAAGCCTTTTTATTCGATGTTTAACTGAGTTTCAATGGGTTCTTAACATTCAATACACTTTCTTGTTTTAGACTCTGTTTTTTTAACGAGCTTAAACTATTCTGAAACCACAAAACTCCCAAAAGCTATGGAATTGTTACGATATATTCTATGTACTTCCTAACTTTGTACTTCGAGTAACATTCTTTCTTAGTTTACTTATTTATGTTTAAAAACAAATTTAAAAAAAAAAACAACATCACGCCAATATAGACTCTGTGAACCCTTTTTTTTTGTTCCTGGCAAATGAGCAAACTCCAGAATCGTTAAAGGTATGACTTAAGACCAAACGATACGGTAGCAGGGGTAAATTAAAAAAAAAGTATCAACATTCAATGCGTTTTTTTAAACTCTTCTAGTGAAAAGCATCCAAAATGTGCGGAAATTCCACAAACGTTATCAAATCTGTTGCGTGGATTACTTCATAATGCCATTAGTTCATTACTCAGCTGAGTAATGATCTTTGTGATTGACAAGAAGTGTAACGACTACTGTACTGTACGCTCAAAAGAATCTAATTGCAATGAAATCAAAGCCATCTGCATCTACTCCACAGTCTAAATCCCCACATTAAATGCTTCAAGTGTGTGGATTTTGCAGTAAACATACACTTCGATGTTAATTATACATAAAAGGAAAATGGAATCTCCAGCAATTTAAAAAATAGGGTTTCTACTTTAGTCTAAAAAAGGTACTAAAACCCAATTTATTTCTTTTGCGATCGATTGAGTGCTGCATCATTAATTTTATTGAAATGCTTGTGAAAATCAACCATAGATTTTTTTCTCTGTATGCATTTCTTGTGACAATAATTTTGTCTGTGGCTTTCTATTACACATAGCTGTATTATTTTTCAAAAATCTATCTCAGCCAATCCTTTTTTTTTTGGAATTAACTAAAAAGCCTATGATCTAAGGAATACTTTGCAAAAAGTGGATGAAAATATTTTTTTTTCGTTTGAAAGATGTATAATTCTAAAAAAAGTATTAGAATATGACTATTTATAATTTATTCTGAGATCTGCAAAAAACAATGTGAAATATCTCGAAAAGTATTTTGCATAGTGTTTCTTTGCATATTTCCAGGGTGCATATCAACACTGACTTTTGTCAAACTTTCAAGGAAAAAAACAACATACTATCTTTTCTGTATCTTATGCCCTTAAGACACCAACAAATTGATTGAACAATTCAAAGTTTTGTAAACAGTAAACTGATAAGTAATACCATAAAAGCACCATACATTATAAGGCTTTCTAACCATATTTCAGCCACATATTAGGATTTGGCGATCAGATACCTTACAGACAACACACGTGCTAGAAGAGTTCGAAAAATCTGTTATGTGTTTAGCATTTTCAAATTCAGAGGTAAATTTATGTAGTTTTACGTTAGTATACATTATTGCGAAAATGCTCAAAAGTCATTTCAGCTTTCATCAATCCAGCAGCAGACAGATACACATGGGAGTGAATCACATACGCCCGAAACATGTGTCCTTATGCATCAAAAGGTTATACATCTCCTGTAATGAATGTATAGCCCGTCATGTGATTTCAAACTCCTCTGCAGTGCGAAATGACATTACCATGAGTAGGACAAAATCGGAAATAAGTTTAGATGGCCAAAAATATTATAAACCGTGTGTTGACCTGTGGATTATTTATGTGTGTGTAGTTAGGTTGCGAATGAATTGACTTATACAAAACATGTTTTTGCCTTTATATTGTATCAATGACAAACATGTCTCAAGTGGATTTAACACCGATGCATAGTCCTTATTAAACAAATCTGCTTCTTGTTAGTATAATAAAGTAAGGCAAGTAGAATGCACAATGAGTACAATCGGAATTGGTCAGAAATAACTGCAGCTTTGGTTTGGTGACATATATGTTACTTTTATTTTATTTTGTGAATATTTTGCTATTTTCGAGGGAAATAAATAAAATCGACACTATTTTTTGCATCGCAACATTTGTTGTACGAAATAGATCATAAGACCGTTTGTTTTCATTTTTGAATTGCTTTGTCTTTTGGCATGTCGGGGGGGGGGGGGGGGGGGGGCATTACATTTTATAGCTTACTATATGATATTGATTTGCTTATTGTTTTTTGGTATCTGGTGGATAATTATCTAATAGTCATTCATACCACATGTTCTTAGTTTTGTAAAGAATTGTTTTATCTTAGGTCTCCTAAATTAACGTTTCTAATAAATATGGGCTAAATTGAAAAAAAATAAATCATCAAAGATACAAGACTTATATTTTTGTACGCCCGACCCGCGTTCCGTCAACAAAAGACCCCCCAGTGACGCGCCAATCAAAAAAGTTAAAAGGCCAAATAAAGTTCGAAGTTGTAGAGCATTGAGGAACCAAAAGACCACTGTAAATGTTGTATATTTTTTTAATAAACTTTCACTTCATATAATTAAGACGTAAACAATTGATGTATAGTTCATGATCATATACTGGTATGTAAAAAAAGGAACAATATATGTATATAATAGAAAAGAAAGGCTATGGGGTATCCATCCATGAAACTGTCTCGAATATTTTCTTTAAATTTATAATGAACAATGTTATTTGTGAATGTATATCTAAATCTTACGCTTTATACAGGATATCTTAGCTGCTGTAGATAATACTCCCGACAAACGCCTGACGGTTTGGAATATTTCTTCAGGAGAACTTATTACTGAAACAGAGGTATATAATATAAATCTTAAATATTTATCACCTGGCAGGAATAAAAAATACAGCGATTCTGTATGTAAAGATGTTACCATGACTGTCATTATGTTTTCTTTCATAATTGCTTGTTGCCAAAAAAGTAAAAAAGTTAGAGAACACAAAAATCAAAGGCCTAAACAGAACGACCAAAGTCATCTAAGGTCAAATTTCTCTGAGGAATTTGCAAATTAAGCTGAATATACTTCAAATCATTTCAATATCCCGAAGGACTTGCTACCACACGAATGGAACCTTCGGGGACTGATAGTCTACCAGCGTGGGCCGAAGCAGTGGTAGAAACAAACAAGTATTATACAATTACCGTGCACACGACAAGTTTTTTTCACGAAAAACTTTCATTAGGTTAATTTTGTTTCTGATTCTTATATGAAAAGTTAGTATAAAAACTTTATAGAATTACTGCGAGACTGCTTTCTGCAGAGCGCAAAGTAAATACACGGTAGGTCCGCATAGGCTATAATTTTAAAAAGAACAAAAATCAATATATATCATAATAATATCAATTCAGTTTATTTATTATTTTCAGGTGAATACAGAATTGATTTGTGATATATCATTCAATAAAAAGTATCCAGAGTTGTTAGTGACCTCTGGAAAAGAACATCTTCAGTGGTGGAAAATTTACGAGGAGAGTCGAACACTTCAACCAGTAGCCCAGCCACAGTATGATGTGAGAGCTTACATCAAACATCATTGTATAAACTATATACCTAAAATATGTGTCTATCAAACACAAATCAACTTTCTTTTTAACCCAATTTTTAAGGGAATTTGAGATTGTAAAATGCAGCAAAATTAAGTCGGAAGAAATTCTAATGTAACCAACGTAATAAGATAGTAACACTTTGTTTAAAAGATAAAAGTGTGGAATAAGGATTATTATAGTCTTTCTATTTGTTCCTGATAAAGGAATTTAATATTCGAATTAATAATATTTGCGGCAATTGTGTACACGAAAAACCATATAAATCGTCACATGTAATATAAATTAATTCCATATGCTGTAACAAATATGTCTAACTTTATACTTTAGAATTATCTTAAAGCAAAATTCATCATATTCCTTGAACATAACGAGAAAGGAGACTTAGTAACTGGAGATTCAAATGGAACTATTTATGTCTGGGCTGATGGTGGAAACAAGATTACCAACTTTGTCAAACATGCACATGATGTAAGAGTTTTTGGAGTAATTCACCATTTCAGAATCTATTTTTTTTTATCATATTTTTAAAATGAAGTTTATTATATAGACAAGTCTATTTCTACAGAATAACTTAACACCAGTAAAACTTGTTCAAAAATATATTCATAATTTATGATACCCATGTACAGAAACAATATTCGGGGTGTTTATTTATTTGAAAACTAGATATATAAATAGGTTGAAATACTTAAAAAATTTCAGTTCAACAAAACTGAAGGTAAGTGTCATAAAAGTATCACCTGATTTACAATGTGTATAAAAGGAAGAGCGTGATGTAGGTCAATAAGACAACTATCAAACAGGACAAAAATCCATACGACAATATTTATAAATCCACATTCATTGTCTATCTTTCGTAATCGAATGTATAAACTAGATGCCAAGCTACACATCAGATTTATGAGATTTGAACATCGATAAATTATTATTGCCGCGAAAAGATCTGTTGTCAACACCAAAACCTATAAAAGTAAAAAAAAAACAACATTGAGATATAACGAAATACAACAACTCACGATCTTCCTGGCATGTAAACTAATGGAAAAGATTCAACACTCCCCTTTTTTATTTTGATCAGTGAAATAATAAATTGTACATACATGAACCTTTAACTGAATCTGTTTAAAAAGAACCACTTAACTCCCAAATACCTGTCCAATAGACAAATAATTAGTACAGTTTTGTATCAAGGAATGCTGAGAGTTACTGATATCGAGTTAAAGTTCATAACCATCTGTTGATAAAGAAGTCATGCAATCATAAACTCCTACATCCACACTTATGCTTGTAAATTTAAATAAAAATTACATTAACAGGACATACAGAAATGAACTATTGGAATGCTCACAAACAAATAGTAAAAAAAAAAGGGAATATGCATTTAATTTTAACAAGGGAATTGATATTTATAAAAAAAAAAACTGATGCAATGCTTTAACAACAAAAGTATTATTGTTATTTGTATCGATATTAAAGCTTCTTCAGGAAAGAAAACATGTTTGATTGTGTGATCGCTTGTTGTTGTTGTGATACATTTGATGAACTATCACTCTGACATCAAGACCACTAAGAAGATTTGAAGAACAATTCATAAACATGTTTGTTTAATAAATGATATCACCATAAAAGCTGGATGTGAAATGCCACTTTTATTTACTTCAAGTAAACAACCTACGGAAACTTAGTATATCTGACTGTTGATCAGTGCATGATATGAACTATCTGTCCATTGTGAAAATTTGTATGTAACCCTCTAGATGCGTATTTAGTTATTTGAATGCCGTCTCATTGATATTTACCTACATGTCCTTTTATTCATATGCATTATTTTGGTACGATTTTGAACCATTTTTGTTTTTGATTACTATGCTTGATTCTTACAACAAGCACTCAAAATCTTAATAAAGTAATAAAATGTGCACACCCCAATTTAGAACAAAATCTCATCAAAGATACTAAGCCCATAACCAGTGATTTTAAAAAGATCTGAAAGCGTGAAAACCGATCATAAACTAATGAAAAACGAATATCAAAAAAATAAAAATGAAAATTTTTTTTTTAAATTATCAACTGTTTTATTTACAGTATATTGTTGTATTGCGTGTTTTTTTCAGGGTCCTGTATTTGTTGTAATGTTTTACAAAAATTACATCATATCTGGAGGAAGAGATGGAATTGTATATTGTTGGCTGTGTAACAAAAATATGGACAATGTTGGCGAACTGCAGGTAAATTAAACTGAATGCAAGTTAATAGAAAGTGCACATCTTAAATGTGGACCGCGAAGATGCCTCCAAAATGACATCTGACGTGAACAGCAATTTAAACAGATAACCACTGGCTATGTAAAGTTTTATAAACTGTTATCAGTTTGTTCATCTTTATCTGATGAATATGTGTACCTTCTAATTGGTTTATGTATTTGATCATAATTTGTTTTGATAAGCTTGCTAGATCTGATTAATACCTGATATTGAAAATAATGATGAAATATAGGATTGCTTATTACAAGGAACCAAGAACTTTTAATGGCAAATGAACAGTAATCTCATACAAAGTTTCATAAAACAACCATACTATGGTTAACTGTTACGGGTACTCAGGGTAATATATGACCAAGGATTAATCAATTCGTTTTTGGAAACATTTTTTTCCTCCTCTTCACTGGATGGTTTTATATTTACTATTTATGCGTGACAGGACGGTGTAACCAATGGAACAAGAACTACTTACTCTTTCAGTGCAATTCATCGTTCACTTTAGTTTTTCATTGGCTCGTGTTCTTCAATCTTGGTTATTTTTTAAGTGTTTTGTTGATTATTGTCGTAGTTGCTCTTTCCTATCTTCTGGCCACTGCGTTGTCTTGTAATATAGGGTTAGCCCTATTTCTACTTTCTTCCTTGCTTTTAAAGAGAGGAAATTCTTGATGATTGTAGGGTTATTGATAACATTGTGATATTTTTTTTATAAAAAAAAAAAGAAATATTTGCTACCTTGACTGTTTGACCAAAATATTAATCTTGTTAGGGGTATTTTTGACATTTTGCTCAAAACAAGGTGTTAAATATCTAAACCGCTATATAGTATGGACGGTTAGATTGACGATTTACAATGTATTTAGACTGTTTTTTAGATACCTAGATCTGAAGGCGGGATTCGAATGTTACAATTCCATGATGACACTTTTTTCATTGGAACTACAATGAACTCTATGTTGTCAGCAGAGTTATCTACAAAAGGCAACTCACCTCTTTCTGGAATTCAGTTGGATCCAGTGCCTATTACACAGGTTAGACAATATAAGTACATGACTTCTTATCTTTATATTTCTTTGGATGGAGAATATCTAGAACACACTAGAATGGAAGATAATATGTTTCTTAATTCATTTTTGCACATTGGACAATTTTCATATTCAGTGTACTTTCTTTTCATCTAAATAATAAAGGACCATTTGCTGACAAAATCATGTCCATCTAGTTGATTTAAACTCAAATTTGATTGATAAGATTCTAAAATGATTTTTTTTTCACAAAAGACCAACCGGAAACAAATTCATGAAATCGTAAAAAGTATCACCATTTTGGGTTGAACTCTATCAAAGTAATTATTTGAAAAAGACACTTTATGAATTTAATGCGTCCGAAGCGCTTTTCTTGATTTACTTTCATTATGAACGCTCAGACCTAATCATTGGAATGTCAGTGATGTATAAATAGGGAGAAACGTTATGAGCTATATCAACAAAAAGGACGTATTAAAAGAATTGCGAAATTCATCAAAATAAAAAAAATAGGAAGATGTGGTATGATTGTCAATAAGATAACTCTCCACCAGAGACCAAATGACGTAGAAGTAAAGTCAACGTCGCCTGAAGGAGTTGGAACCTTAGTTTATAATATTTCTTTAATCTATCTACGTGAAATCTAACAAAAAAATGTTAGAAATCATGTCAGTACCAAAACACTGACCACTGAGCTGATAATCCATCAATAACAGTCCACCAGTGCGTGTAAATGCAAATAAAACTTTATACATTTCGTTTTTCCGAAGCGATATTCTGGATAAGCCTTCATCAGAAACGCTCAAATGCGCAGAAAGGTCAGGGGCTATATGACAAAATTAACTAATCAAACATTGATATGAACTTATATACAACAGGCTGTATACATATGGATATAAATGAGACCAAATTATTGTCTTGCAAGTCAAATGAATAATGTATATGTTTAAAATTTTGGACATATTTTGACACAATTGAACCGAACAAATTATTTATCTATGACACGAAAATAATGTACCTAATCGTTTTACCTATAAGAATAATTTTTTTGTGAATTGACACAGTCAACAAAACCGGTTTTCCCGTTGGACCTTAGATTTACTTTTCCAGCTGACATTCTTTTCCATACCTGAACTTGCCGACCACATGCGCAATCACCACCAATTGAGGTCACATAAGTTGCATACATATGGATCTAAATTATGTCAAATTATTATCTTGCAAGTGAAATGAATAATGTATATGTTTAAGTTTTTGGACATATTTTGACACAATTGAACCAAACTGACTGCTGAAAATGTTTTTTTTCATTATTCCGTTCTTGTAAATAGCAATGGCATACTTAAATCATTTCAACTTTTACTGTCAAAATCGCAGCTAATGGCCCTTTAATATAAAACTGTAATATATTTCATGTTTCAAAAAACCGATTCGAAAATATTTCAATTTTTCTTCGAAGAACAACTCACTCTTCCATTAAACGCAAAATATTTACCGTGATTTTATGTTTACAACAGGGTTCTGGTCTTTTTTATGAATCATTATTATTTTATTCGTACTTTAGTAGAAAAGAGATAAAAGTTGGAAGGCGGGGACATGTATTGGTGTATTTATTCAAGATGAACTAACCATCCAATTAAAATAACAAAAACAATTCAAACAATCACAATAGATATAAAACAATAAAACGACAATCAAACAAACAAGATATAATGTACTAGTAACAGTTACCATCTCCAATAAAAGTAACCACAAAAGCAATTTAAAACAATAACAATAAATATTAAACAAACAAACAGAATTCAATACGATTAATGATATTTTATTAAGATTTTACAACTTATACATGTTTAGGGTCATTATGACGACTTACGTGGATTGGTAGTAATGCACGAATCTCAGCTTGGTGGCGATTTCCTTACTGCCGGAATAGACGGTGTTGTCTGCTGGTTCAACACAGAAAGGAGAGATCCTGTCTGTAAACTTATGTTGAAGGTAATTTTATCGGTGGTTGTAAGAAATGAATCAGTATCAAATAGAGTCATAGAAAATGTCTACACAACATTACCCGGCATTGTGTAAACGACTTCCCGAAAACAACTAACTCAAAGTCGTTAAAGTGGAAGTCAAATCCGTTATATATATAATATATAAGAATAGTTTCAGGCTACGAAATGCACAAAATTATTCCGACATCAATTAAAGCCGACGGTAGTTTAACGAGGTCAAAATATCATAAATCTATTTAGAAGATACAAATCAAAACTAAGAAAATTACATGAACTCCAAAAAGGACCGAGACGTTGTGCATCGACAGGTTAAGCATCAACTGATATTAATGCATCACCCGCCATGCAAAAGAGAGGCAAAAGATAACAAAGGGACATTCAAACTCATATTGTCTGCTCTATGGTCGGGTTGTTGTCTCTTTGACACATTCCCCATTTCCGTTCTCAATTTTATCATAAGTCGAAAATAAACTAACAACGCCTCGACTAAAAAGAAAAAGACCAACAGACAAACAATAGTACACAAAACACAACATAGAAAACTAAAGACTGAGCAACACGAACCCCACCAAAAATTGGGGGTGATCTCAGGTGCTCAGGAGTGCTTAGGACACACTCGGTAAACTTACAGATCGAATGACAATTTTAATAACTAAAAATCTAAGACCACAAAACATGTCGTTAGTGAGTTGAGACACAGTCACATTGTATCAGTCAACGTCCAGGGTCGATTTCAGTTTTTTTTCCTCATAACTTATGAATTTGTATATTGTATACTGCAAACATGCACGAGCATAACGTATTAAGTAAAATATATATAGAACATACGATGGAGCAGAGGGTATATGAGATGCAAGCGCTCACTTAAATGTGGGGTTTTGAGTGATATGACATCAATATATTTTTGCGTTGCACAATGATAGACATTTGAGTATCAATGGTCTGATAAAATATAAATCCATCAAACTCAAAAAAAAAAAATTGTCGATAAAAAAGTCCAGCAACTTTTTATCGTCAAACCTTCCTCTTACTAGTAAATTAATGTTTTGTCTGAATCGATCATTTTGATCATACCATCATCTGAAATATTTGATTATAATAATGTAAAAGTTTTTCCGTGGCTGTAAATCCGTCATTTCATTTCAAGTAAACCCAGTAATAGTTTTACAGACAATTAGAATTGTTTTGTCCATGTAAATGACAACAACTAAATATTCTGAAAAAAAACTCAGCATATCTTAACTGACCACAAGCGAATTGTCTGGACAGTATTGAATAAACCACATTTTATAAGCTATATCGTTGACTGATGGACTAGCTTACTAATTTTATATTTTATTCAGTCTTTTAAGAAAGGTTGAAATCAAAATGACAGTTTCGGTTAAAAATCGTTTTACTGTTGTGTTTATCTTGTGATAGTCTAGATTCTGTGTGCATTGTGTCAATACAGTCCACTATTCGGAAATATACAAAAATGAACGTCAATTTTACATTTTATTTCGTTCTAAATCGTTTGTATAGCAAATGGCATGGGATTAAAAAATCACTTTAAATCAGTCAAAAAATTTCGAAAACAGACGAGAGAAAAGCTTGCATGAATTGTATCTAAATGTTGACAATGCATAATAACATTAAACCGTACACCCCAACATGTAAGGTAGTAAGTAAAACGAAGAGCACCAATGAAAGTCAAAATGTCAGCAATAGAAGTGAAAAACAGATGGTTAGTTTCTGTTGGTTTCTTTTGTAGATATACAGGAAGCATGCGTCGTAAAATATTCTACTACGTGAACTAATTCAATATAGAAATATAAAAAATTGATTTTTCACTACACTTACTTATTATAGGGTATGCAGTTTACATGTGTAGATTCCTCGTTTGATGGAACACGTGTTGTATTGGGGACAAAGAATGGAAAGTAAGTGTAGTTAGACTTCCACTAGTTGACATTTTCAACAATCATAATAATGAAACTATTGTTGAATAATGATATTGCAGATCTGGTTCGTAATTTTTGTCTGCTTGATACTAACTGTTGGACATTTGACGTGGAAATTTTTGTGAAAATGACCTTGTCTGCTTTTTCTTGGCTTTTTCTTTGGTTTGAGGGGGGGGGGGTAGCATGTTTTAGTATGATGTAATATAATGATGAGTTACTGGACTATTTGTCTTTCATTCTGATTTATCCTCTTTTTGATGGAATTATGACCTTTTTCATACGCTTTCAAAATTGATGACGGAAATCCCTTTCATAATTTATTAGTCGATTTAATGATATTTAATTATAACTTTTTTTCCAGTTTAGTTATACTGAATATTGAAGGAGAGTCTAGTTCTGAAGTATTCAACAACAAAATAACAAAAGACAGAATAGATTGTGTGCGATTTTCACCAGGTAAAACTTGATTTCATGACCGTATATTATCTGCGATGTATTTGTATGACAAATTTATTACCAAGTGACTTGATATAGAAAATATCTCGCTTACGCGCGTCTTACGAACTGGCCAGATATCTTTGATGAGTTTTTCTATATGAAAAAACAACTCCAGATGAAACCATTCTAACCGAATAAAGTGAAATACTTTTCTAAAATGAAAAAGAAATTGTTATTTTCAACAAAGGTTAAAAACAAACTATAGTTGCTGCATATGTTTTATTTTAAAAAGTTGGGAAATAGGATTCTCTTCGTCTTTGAATGCTTTTTCTTTATTCATTATTATTATTACTATTATTTTAAATTTGACTGTAATTCATTTGATGCACCCATATTATTCCACGTGTTTAGATTGAATGTAGACGTGTACCACTATTGTAAGTGTTAACAGTAATTTATTTAAAAATGAATGTGACTAGATGATGAAAATAACATTTTATAATTTAATGCATCTGAAGCACTTTTCTGGATTTACCATCAACAAGACCGCCCAAACTTTTCATTATTCTTCAATGAGTGAAACAAGTTTATCTTTTTCCAGATTACACAATAATAGCTGTTGGAGGACATGATTGCTCAATTCATATGTATCATTTCGTTGCAAAATCGGATGGCTCGTTTGTATGGGAAATGAAAGGAAAATGTGTGGTAAATACCAATTAATGTCCACGTTAAAAGTAGATACTGTAACATGTACAAAATGGCAACCAAGCAAATACTTTTACAAATGTAATAACATAAGAATAAAAAGTCATCACTTTTTTTAATAAATGTTTTATTGATATCATAGAGATAAAATTGATCGTTAAATACAGAGAAAACAAAATTTATGAAAACAAAGAGACGGAAGATACAAAGGGAAAATACAAATCATAAGTCGAGGAAAAGCGACGAATAGGCAATCAACTGTACAGAAAACTAAAGACTGAGCAACACGAATTACACCCAAAACCGGGGGTGGTGATCTCAAATACTCTGGAAGGGTAAGCAGATCCTGTTCGACTAGTGGCACTTGTTTTGTTGCTCCTGAAAAGTAACAGTTCGATTGTCAGTCGCATTCGGTGATGGCATTTTACAGAAAAAGAGGACGGACATTATTGAGACTACAACTATCTAAACATACATGTGATCATCTATTACTCTGATGTTCAATAACGGGTCAACAAATGATAAAGAAACAAAGAAATTATCGACCATTAAAGAAATCAAATATACATTTTATATTGTGTTCTGTGAGAAATTGAACGTATGTCTATTCTAATAATAAATTTGTTGTATGTTGTATATTCTTTCTTTTTCAGGGACACCGTGATCCTGTAGTAGATATTGACTTTTCTGCGGATTTGTTCAACGATCACTTCCTCCTACGTAGCTGTACTAATTCACCTGAGAACTTATATTGTAAGTAAAATTAAGAAATTTTTATTGTTCAATGATCTTATCTTTCTGAATTTCTAAAATATTTACAATATATTTATCTATTCACCTCTGTGTGATATTTGTATGTAATAAATAGAAAATGATACAGAGTAAACGAAATGTGACAAAATTCAAAAACGTGACCCATAGCCATGAAATTTGAACAAAGAAAAGTGATTTTGATTTAAATTAATTGTGTTATTTTGATTACATCCGTGGGTACCGAAATAGATTCAGTAAACTGACTTCAATGATAGTAGAGAGGTAAGCATTGGCCATATAGCTCCTCAAATATTTATTCCTAGTGAATGTATAATTTGAATAGCGCTTCGAATGCACCAAAATGTTCAAGTGCTATTTCAATTTTTAATGGGTACAATTCAGACTGTAAACTTAAAGGTATATTGCAAACAAAAATACAATGATACAGCAACTAAGCAAAAACACCGACGGTACTTCTATCTAGTGGTAAGGTCATACATTTACGGTTGAGCACTCCGCCTTCTATAAATTCGGTCAGTGGAGGAATGAGAAGAAAACATATTTGACTCGCAGTTACTTGAAGCAAACACTATATATGATTAAAATTAAATGATGATTATTTACACTGTTTTATGTTTTGCCTTACATTTCTATGTTGACACTGATAAAACAGCATCGTCACAAACTCAACAAGAAAAGTGTTATGCTTAATTCAACAGGGAATGCCCAAAGTCTTGATGAAATGGATATGACAGAATGTCGAGAGGTCTCATGGATGACTGAAAAATGTAGAATATCTGCTTCCAATATTGGACTATGGTGGTCAAAATTAGAACAGGAAGGAGATATCAACTGTGTGGATGTTTGTACAGAATCAAATCTCATAGTTATGGGAGATTCGTGTGGAAACGTTTGTTTATATAGATATCCATGCGATAGAAAAGGGGTAAATGTTCAAAATTATTTTTGTAGGTGTATAATTGATCCTGTTTCGCAAAATCTGAGAAGCATATATCTTTTGACTATTTATCTATCTATCCTTCATAACAGTTGCGTTTGGTAAAACATTTCTCTTTTTGCAGTATCCAATTTTGCACAAGTTATATTCGTCCTCAAACTTGATTTTCATCCAATTGCTGTGACAGTTGATCAATTATATCCTTGAAAATGTGAGGAAAAAATTTTGGATGATTTTGTTTGTTAGTTTTAAATGCAAGATATTGCGTTTGGGAACATAACCATTTATTATATAAAATAGATAGAGCTAAATTACTTAATTAAGGCAACAGTAGTTCCGATGTTCAAATCTCATAAATCGTTAAAAAGACAATCGCGATAAGAAACAAAAACTGAGGGAATCACATGACTTCCAAAAAGACCGGGTGAGTTGACAGTGTAAGCGTTATACATATATCTCCCGCCTTACGATTCGACACTCAGTCAAACTGTCACATTCGGGAATACGTCACAATCGGCAAAACCACAGATCAGACGCCTATTCTTCTATCAAATAATCGCAAAAGACTTACAAAACATGTCGCTAGTTAGCCAAGACACAGACATATCGTATCGGTTTACCAATTCGCGGTGGCGACCGCAAAACCTTTGTAGTATCGTTTTCAGTCCGTCTTCTCCATTTGAGTAGGTTTTGTGTAAGGAGCACACTCCTGTTAAAATCGTAAATATATTTGGAATTTACAAACGAAAGGAAATTTCTGAAGGAATCAGGTTAGCTCCATATGGAGAACAACCTGGTGCGTCGACGAAATAAGCGTTTCTACTATAGATGCATCATCCGCCATACGGATCCAGACTGATTAAAAAATGCCACGACATGGAATAGGACATGTTGGTAAATTCTCAAATCTAACAACTATTCTGGTGTCATAAGATCTTAGACCGCAAAGCGACGTAGCAATCAAATCGGACAGGCTGCATGCAACAATTAATCAAATAAAACTAATGAATGGAATTTTTGGCATAAACTTTTTCAACATTCAATTAAATAAAGTGTATCAAAATATTGACTACTAAGACTTGTTGGTTAAATTAATAATTCCATGTTTAGGATGATATTTTGAAAAAATAGTCTGTTTACATTTTCACACAAACAAATGTTTTGGTCTATACCTCATTTCATGTATATGGTATTAATGACGTAAGCCTAACAGTTTTATGTAAGCTATACAAAAATGCTTGAGGTTAACCCTTCAAACGAATGAAATTAAATCATTTGTTTTGAATTGATGAAATGTCAAATTTTTCAACGAAAATAATATCAAAATATGAGCTTATTTATTGTGTGCAAAATTCCCGTTTCCATATGTGTCTAGTTTAATGTGCGACATGTTTTTCATATAGACGATAAAAAGCCAGCAAACTAAATGATCGACAATGAAACGAAGTTGTTCATATTTTTAGCACTTGGAAACGTTATATTTCAGTAATTTTACATTAAGCCAATTCAAAACATTTTCTCGGGTTATTAGCTTTCTTATTTGTGGTATTATATCTGAAACTTATTTCATGTCGTCCTCAGAAATCAAACCTTAACGTTACCAATTTTATTGCACTAGATGCGCCTTTAAACAATTCATGTCGCTCCAGTGATGCTCGAGGCAAAACTCGTTGATAGTCAAAAACCTAATACAATCGTTGAAAAGATGATAAAACAAAAATGAACCCAAAGTTAAGCCAAACACAAAAAAGGAATCAGAGCTATACCTTCCTTGATTTAAAATGATTTCGAAATAGTTTATAACAGCAAATTTAATCAAGACAATATCCCTGTTCTTATGCCAGTACCGAAGTACAGGCTTATGGGCTGGTGATACCCTCGAGGACTAAATATCCAAAACTCATCAAAGATACCAGGCTTATAATTTGGTACGCCAGACGAGCGTTTTGTCTACACAAGGCTCTTAAGACTTATCAGTGACACTCGAATCGAAACAGTTCTAACGCCAACTATTATAGAAAGTTGAAGAGCATTGAAAACAAAATTCGAAAAATTTATGCTAAATATGGCTAAGGCAATATATTCCTGGAGGAAGAAAGACCTTAATATATATAATGATTCAACAAAATTTATAAACAGTAAATTAACAGGAAGTAAAACAATATATATAAGGATATTTCCACTAAACAATTTAAATAATACATTTATAGTAAAAAATTATTTCGGGCGTATCTGACAGTCTTTTGGACCTATATGTTTTCGGATCAACAATATAACCGAATTTCAAAATTGAAGTTAGATGGTAATTATTGATTTTAACTCAAATAGCTGTAGAAGAGTGAATTTGTCTTGAGTCTTGACATTAAAAACGAAAGATCAAAAAATCAAAGAGAAAGGATTAAACTTCGAAACCACTGCATCAAATGTGAATACAAATGTATAATTTAGAAAACAAAACCTGGACATCTTACTAAATATGACATTTGGTCACAATGTGTTCCTCAGCTGATACATTTTCAATTTGTAATTTCAAAAATAAAAAAAAAAACTTATCAAAGATACCACGCTAGTGATGAAGTACGCCAGAAGCGCGTTTCGTTCTCATAGTCTATAATTGGCAATCGAATCAAATCAGTAGAAATGCTATATCAATAACGAAGTTGAAAAACCCTGAAAACTAAAGAATCCAAGAAGTTGTGCCAAATCAACTGTGCTCAGGCTATCTTTAGTGTCTAGAAAGATTTTAACAATTACCATGAACAGTATAAATTTGAAGAAAATAACCGTATCAATGATATTTCATGTCAACTCAACACAGATGTGCTGACCACTGGACTGGTAATGCCCTCGGTGATGAAACATCCACCAGCCGTGGCACCCACCCAGTGGTTGTAAAACCTCATCAAAGACACCAGTCTTGTAAATAAATCACCTATTGTGAAACTGTGTCCGGTTGTGGATTCGCATGGCCCATGATGCATGCATAACAGGAGACATTTACCCTGATGAAGGTAAAACCTCATCAAAGACACCAGTCTTGTAAATAAATCACCTATTGTGAAACTGTGTCCGGTTGTGGATTCACATGGCCCATGATGCATGCATAACAGGAGACATTTACCCTGATGAAGGTAAATCCAGAAAAGCGCGTCGGGTTTACCAAATTTATAGAATTTATTTTTATTGTGTCACTGTTACCCATTTTAGTTTCCTTTTGATTGTATAGCCCTTGTAAATATGTGAAAAAGACATCTTAAATTATTCGTCGCTAAGATTTACTCGTACTTTTACTAGTACCACTAATACCAATATTGTGTGTTGAATAAATGTTCATCCATTTATGATTTCCCTTTAAGTGATTTGCTACTTCTGTGGTAATACGATTTTCATCTTTATTATAGTGTATGTTTATCTAATTGCAGATGTATTGTCATATGTATCATGGACATGCTGCGGTTCACAATGTTAGTTTCTCGAGAGACGGGCATTATGTTATTAGTGTTGGCGGCAAGGACTCTTGTGTCATTCAGTGGAAAATCGTTTAAAACGGCAGAGCTGTAATTCAATATCAATCGATTATTGTGTGGAAACTTGAAATGATAATTTTTGGAAGGGGTTGAAGGAGCAATTTCATGTTCTTAGTATCTGACCATTCTCATTTATTTCAAGGATTAAGTACTCCACATTTGTTGCCATGCACATAATATAAAATAGTGAGACTACAAACCACAAGTAACGACTTAATGAAAATAGTAAATATTTTTAATATCTAAATTTCGATATGATAGAGAAATGTTGATTCTTCAAAATTCAAATTCAGTTGACTTGTTATAATTCAAGCAAAACAATTGTTTACCCATACGGAAATGCTCTGCCACTCAACATTTCATACTCTCAATCCTTAAGATGCAAAATCTCTTCATTTGGTTTACAGAACACATACGTGTACTTTATTTAGATGCATCATTATATGGAAAATTATGAAAAACGGGACATTATTACTAATAGTCGGCGTTATTGTTTTTTTTTATTTCAGCAACCGATTTGTGTGCCTTTTGGTGGCATGAATGTTTCTTACTAATAAATTTAAGAACTCTAGATATTTTCTGGTGGTTTTTTTTCGGGGGCTGTCTTTATTGGTGGAAACCCAATAAATCTTAATATCGAACAATTTTCTCTGAATTTATTTCATATCAGGGCTATTTTTAAAATATCTTTCAATCTTTACTAAAATGTACTGTCCCACAGCATCATTCGTGTTCTTTGGTTTTCTAACAATGTCATTGCTCATTTCTAGACATATAACAAAATTTTGAATGCCCAAAGATAGCTTAAACTGTTATTTTAATAATTTTGGCAAATGTTTAGTATCTATCCAAAAAACGAAAAAGACATTCTGAACCAAAACTGTATTGGAAAGATGTCCTTTGTTGCAAAGATTTTCCGACAACTTGATAATAGTGCAATATTGTATACAGCAGCAACATGTAGCTCAGAATAACATTTATATTTAAACATCTGCTGTGTTAAAAGTTTAAGTATATCATATAGACTCTCTTATTTTCAAATTCCAGTATATGCAAGTTTTATGAATTTTCTGATTTGGGAAAAAAATATTACAATAATATCGAACTCCAAGGTAAATTAAAAAAAGGGGAAGTCCATAAAAACTGACAAAATCAAACGCTATCAATCAACGGAACAAGTGTATATGCCTGACTTGTGTACGGTACAAGCATTTTCTGAAGAAAATGTTGGGTTAAATCTGGTTTTATAGCTAGCTAGACCGCCCATTTGTATGACAGTTGTTTATAGTTCCGTTAATTGGGTGAGCAACGCAGAAATAATTGGAAAATAGCTCTACCTCTTTCACTTCCAATGTATTCATGTTCTGACAATAAATGATGATGACCAGACTGTTGTAATATTTAGATCTTGTTACATGAAATCTTATTATCAACTTCATGTGGTTATTTTCAATTTTAATATCATCTTAAAACGTAAAAGTATATTATATTATACACTATCTCTGATGTTTTGTAAGCGGCTACTTGTCTGTGTGTATTAACACCTGTACTATAAATATTGTTTTTATGCTACAATGAGCTCCAGTATTAGAGATTTGTCTTATAACTATACAGCAACTAAGTACAGGGATGTGACTATTATATGTTACATTTTTAAGAACTGTGTCGATACCGCTGCTTGATGGACTGCTGGACCCTAGAGGGTATCATCAGCTCTTTAGTCAGTGCCTCGGTAATGTCATAATTCAAAACTTTATCTGATGATAGATTTTGGAAATTATTAAGAAACAAAATTTCAACTCTCTCGGGCAAATGGAATAGGGATTTTGAAAAAAAAAAATTTCTGATGTCCCAAGATCTTAGACCGCAAAGCTTCGAAAAAGAGGGGCAAAAGATACCAAAGGGACATTCAATCTCATAAGTCGAAAATAAACTGACAACGCCATGGCAAAATAAGAAAAAGACAAACAACAGAATACAAAACACAACATAGAAAACTACAGACAAAGCAACACGAACCCCACCGAAAACCGGGGGTGATCTCGAAACAATCAAAACGGACAGACTACTTACGGCAATTAATGTGTAATGTAAAAATGTTGGTCTCTACCTAATTTGCTTAGATCCTTTTGGTCATATGACGTTCTTAACGTTTCTACGTATTCATACATTACTGAGTTTCAAGTGTTTTGGGATTGAGCGCCTCGGATTAATCACATTTCTAGTGTTACTTAAAGGCCAAGTGAGCTTTTCTTATCACTTGGCGTTCGTCGAACGTCGTCGTCGTTAACTTTTACAAAAATCTTCTCATCTGAAACTACTGACGACGTGGCTAAAAATAGAACATATGGGGTAAAATGCAAGTTCAGCAATCAAAGCCGGGCTCCAAAGTTATTGTGAAACTGCCTATTCTAGAGGTGGCGTGAATCAGATGTGGATACTAAAAAACTCCAAAGATCTTTTAGAGTACATACAATCTGAGACTCTCTCATCTTGCAATAGTATTAAAACATTTGACTTTTCTACACTTTACACAAGTATTCCCCATTCCAAACTAAAAGACAAATTGAAAGAGTTGGTATTACTTTGTTTCATTAAAAAGAATGGCGAACGTAGATACAAGTATCTTGTCTTGGGGAGGGATAAATCCTACTTTGTAAAGAATCACTCTGATTCAAACAAACAATTCTCTGAAACTGACATTATCAAGATGCTTGATTTCTTGATTGACAACATATTTGTTACGTTTGGAGGACGTGTTTTTCAACAGACTATCGGAATTCCAATGGAAACCAATTGTGCCCCTCTTCTTGTCGACTTGTTTCTTTGTTATTAAGAGGCTGACTTCATACAGGAACTTCTTAAGAAGAAAGATAAGAAGTTAGCAATATCCTTTAACTCTACGTTCCGCAATATAGATGATGTTCTCTCACTAAATAATACAAAATTTGGTGACTATGTTGAACGAATCTATCCCATCGAACTAGAGATAAAGGATACTACAGATACAGTTAAGTCTGCCTCATATCTTGACTTACATCTAGAAATTGACAATGAGGGTCGGTTGAAAACAAAACTTTACGACAAAAGAGATGATTTCAGTTTCCCAATTGTGAACTTTCCATTTCTATGTAGCAACATTCCAGCAGCGCCTGCATACGGAGTATATATCTCCCAATTGATACGATATTCCCGGGCTTGTGTTTCCTATCATGATTTCCTTGATAGAGGATTGCTGCTCACAAGGACGCTATTAAGCCAAGAGTTCCAAATGGTGAAGTTGAAATCATCCCTTCGTAAATTTTACGGACGCCATCACGAGTTGGTTGACCGTTATGGAATAACCGTTTCACAGATGATATCGGATATGTTTCTTATGTCGTAACTACAATACCCTTCCCTTTTCACGAATGTGACTTACCGAATTAGACTATTTACCGGATTTGTAATAACATAAGCAACACGACGGGTGCCACATGTGGAGCAGGATCTGCTTACCCTTCCGGAGCACCTGAGATCACCCCCAGTTTTTGGTGGGGTTCGTGTTGCTTAGTCTTTAATTTTCTATGTTGTGTCATCTGTACTATTATTTGTCTGTTTGTCTTTTTATTTTTAGCCATGGCGTTGTCAGTTTGTTTTCGATCTATGAGTTTGACTGTCCCTCTGGTATCTTTCGTCCCTCTTTTGTCTATTATTCTGATTACAGTTATAAATACAGGAAATCTGAAAAGGGTAAGGAGTTATTGCCCTTAAATGACAAATTTTACCTATTTTTTTTTTCAATTTTGCCTATTATCTTAAAAACTATATTAGATAGAGAGAAAATTTTAATTGCAAAAAATTATCAGAAGGACAAGTTCTACAAATAAGTGTTATGGTTGAAATCGTCAGTTGACTCCTTATTAGAGTTATTGGCTTTTGATGACGATTTGTACAATACTTTTCTTATATCTCAAAACTTATAATCGATAGAAAGAAAATTAAATAAACAAAAAATGATCAGCAAGACAAGATCTTCAATTAAGAAAAAGGCGGAGATTGTCCGACGATTCCTTATTGGAGTTATTGCCCTTTAATGACGATTTTTACCATTTATTTTTTTTAGGCGTTTTGCCTTATATGATAAAAATATAATAGATAGAAACTTGAATAATCAAAAATGAAAAGCAAGAGAAGACCTACTAACAAGTCAAATTTTGCCGATATAATTAGTAGACTGTTACTCTTTATAGGAGTGTTTGCCCTTAAATCAGGATTTTTTTTACCCTCTCTTTTGTGTTTGGAGCAAAAGCTAAATAAGATAGAGAGACACTAAACAGACTTCAATGATCAGCAATATAAGATAAAAGAAAAAAAGAAGAAGATTTTTGTCATTAATTCTATTCTCGTCCTCGATGTTGGAGAGTGTCCTTTGTTGAATATGCATATAGACCAAGGTGAGAGACACATGCTCTTTAGAGCCTCTAGTTATTTATCACTTATTTTATTTATAGCTATTACGTCCCTCTATAGTATATCTTATATTAATGCCTACTCAAAAACTACTAAACAATTATAAGCAAAGTATGTACCACTTCTTTTCCATGTAGTATGTTTTTTTTCAAATTCGGGATTCCTCAGATAGTTTTAAGGTATTCACATTTCCTATAAAATCATTGATCCGAATGTAGACAAGCTTAAATCAATTCGTCTCTGAATAATTCAATTGTTATACCTGCATTTGGTTCTACGATTAAGGATGCTAAAATGAGATGCAATTAGGGTTATATTTGGAAGATCTCCTTGTATTCAAACATTCTGCAGTCCAGTTTACCACCATCCATCTGATTGTTTTCATAAATGGCGTTCATCCAATCTGTATCTGGCTCCGATTAAAACATACTACACCAAATTACATGGCAATCGGAGCCAAATAAACAGCTGATTTTAATCAGATTGAATTTCATCGGAACTTTCACTGCCTCACTATGTATTGTAACATGTGTTACTTGATTTCTGCATTTAGGGTTCCTGTGATGAGGTTTTAGTAGAAGTCAAAAGAGCTTAAATGAATAAGGCTATTCGTTTTATGTCCTGCTTGGTCATAAAGCTCTTAACGTTTCAACGGATTTACACATCCCTGTCTTTTAAATGTTTAGGTTCGAGGGTTCCTGGTGAAGGTAAATCATTTATAAAGTGTTATTTTCATTTGATGTAATCTACATATGTATTGTTATCTACTATATAGTTCAAATGAACTACAAAATGAAGGTAAGCTAAAGGTGTTTTGCATCTACATCAATGCAACATGTATGAATAAAAAGAAATGTGAAGCACATGTTAATGAGACAACCAAAGAACACTAGATAATCTAATAAAAATCTAAATGTCGCTGTTTTCTGCAATTAGAATTCAATTAAAAAGTAATATAACAAAAATACCGAAGTCCAAGGAAAATTCAAAACGGAAAGTCCCTAATCAAATGGAAAAATTAAAAGCTCAAACACATCAAACGAATGGAAAACAACTGTCATATTCCTGACTTGGTACAGGCATTTCCTTATATAGAAAATGATGGATTAAACCTGGTATTATAGCTAGCTAAACCTCTCACTTGTATGACAGTCGCATAAAATTCCATTATATTGAAAACAATGTGTGAACAAAACAAACAGACATAATAGGTAAAAATGTCAAAAATAGGGTACAGCAGTCAACATTGTGTTATAATCCTAATCACTATCAAACAAACAAATATGTCAACAAAGGAAAACTAAATGGCATATAGACAAAGCACATAAGTAAGTAGAAATGTTGTTGACATGTCTGCATCTGAAAGTACTAGCATCTTGGATTATTCGTGAGTCCTAGCATATCTGGAACAGTATTTCTTTTTATAGTATGTTAAATAGAATGACAAACTATTGTTATACCGATGGCAATCAACATATATTATCCTTCTAAAACATGAATTTTAATGTATATATGAGTGAGACTTAGCATAAACATTTTGATTATACGATATATGTTAACAAACGATCGTATTGCATATGCGTAGTATTAAGAATAGCTAAAAATTGTTCGATTTTTTTGTTATCTTTATGCCATCTTTCTCAGTTCTGCAACACCTGGAAAGTACCAATATGTTCCCTTGACATTCTTTGTTAACCTCATGATATCGTCACTGACGCCATCGCCACCAGCACCAACCATACGGTCCAACATAAAGTTAAGGTTCTCCGGAGAAGCTGTGTATCCAATGAAAAATAACCCAGCCTCACCAGTAACGTTTCCGAATGGCATAGATTGTCTGACCATCTCAAATGGCTTTTTCTGTTCGAAATTTGTTCCTATTAAAAATAGAGAATTTAATTATTTCAGGTGACAATTTTACAAATCTGTATAAGCTTTCTGGAATATGTCTGCTTGTTTTATTGGCCACTTGGCAATAAACAGCAAAAAAATAGCATTGTATTCATATTTATGTATAGACATGATACTAGAGATGAATTGGATAATTTCATACTCAGATTCAAAGAACAAAAGCTGCCTATTTAATTGTAAACACTTCAGCGGTTTTAAAACATCGCATCCAATTATCTGATTAAACGTAATAGACCCCTATTCAATGAAGAACGTATACTGAAATGTCAGACCTGGTTATCAGTTTATTCAAAACAGACAATATTTTGATCGCTGACTTCTTCCCATCTACATGAATATCAGTATGAGAAGACACTTTCTATAAAATAATGAAATCTCTTCAAACCCTTTTAACTTGCATAAAAGTACAGAGCCTTGAGTATAAATAAAAATACGTGTTTAGTTAATGTAAAAAAGTTTTTACCTCCTGTCATGCGGGCTACATGAGATGATGTAGTTTTCTTTTTGAGTTCTATACTGTCGGCTCTAGTTCTGCCAACCCAGCCTTCCATTGTCTTGTCTATAAATGATATCAAAATAATGTTCATTAGGCAGTTTCAATATAGTTTATCAAACAATATCCAATTTCGCAGGGCATCAATTAGTATATAAGCGATTTTCTTTATGTTCTGTGTATGCTATGCTACGATTGTTCTGTTTCAAATGTTTTTATATTCGTTATTTTTTTTTCTTTTCTTTGGCTATTACCATTACTGATAAAGGTTAATTAAGAAAATTGTTCCGAGAATATATAAACAATAACACTTTTTTAACTTTAAAATTTCATGCAATGCAAAAAATTTTCGTTTCAAATTTATATGTATGTCAGTGGTAAACTACTGAAATGATTCTAAACTTTGAAACAATGAACAATAACGTACGTAACATTTTCAACGTTATCACATGATATAACCGGCTATCAGTACGCCAGATTATACAATATATACGATGTGTGTTCCCGATTGATATTTACAACAATGGTTTTGGCTATCGTGTACACAAGATTACTATGTGCAGTTCCGATTGCCATTGCAATGCAATGTATTTTGCCATCGTGATCGGTTGATTTTGATCTGTGCTACCTATTGCATCTGCCATACCGATAGCCGATAACAGGTTCTGTTTACATCTTATGGAAAACAAACGTTTGGTAGGTCACACATAATCTTGTTGTAAGCATGAAATATAAAAAACTTACACTTTATCCTGCAATTTAACTTATTGAATCATGTTAATAATAGCTAAACAATATACCCTTTTCTGTTGATATTAGTTTTAAGTCATGGATCCACTTCTGTGTAATCTGGAAAAAATATATAAAAGACATTTGTAAAGACTTTATCAGAGTTCGCGAAAAGTGGTGGTCCGAATGATTTAACCACAAAAATTTTGTAAAGGACAGACATATTTTAGTTTTATGCAATAGAAATAATAGTGAGGACCAGCAGATTTTCTTCAAGGACAGCCAGGGGGGAAAGTTTCGCGAAGTCTGCTTTATTATCCTTATTCCAATATGACTCCTTTGCACTAACAGTTTTTGATGGTTAGATTGTCATGGAAATTCATAGTTTATTTAAAGTTTGATATGCGATAAAGACACGTTCTCATAATGGAAGACTGCAGTTTGATATGCGATAAAGACACGTTCTCATAATGGAAGACTGCAGTTTGATATGCAATAAAGACACGTTCTCATAATGGAAGTCTGCAGTTTGACCTCTAGATATCTTTTTAAATTTGTGTTGGGGGTTTCTGTCTCATGAACATTTACCACCATCTTCCTTTATTCACGTGGGAACCTAACTGTTTAAATCCCCATCCCTCTCTAAGTTGTCTTGGCTATATCTTTATTTGTCTGTTCTCTTAAAAAAAATCGGTTATCCTGATCCAAGGTTTGTCACACTTCTATAGAAATGTATACCTCGAACATTTTAAAAACCAACATAACAGTGTGTAAGAATATTACTTATTAAGCACAACTTTCAAATAAAAGTAAGTAGAAAAATGCATAGCCAAAGGCAATGAATACATTATCATAAAATAAGTGATAAATTCTGTCAATGCTATGAATTACACGTCAATACATGTGTTATACAACATAAATTAATGTTTTAAACTAAGGGGAAACCAATGAACGAATACTCTGGTACATGAATTACATAGAAAATATACAAATGAGATCCACACACAGGGAAGGGGTGAATAAACAACATTTTTATAAAAAAAAAATAATACCGTGGAATTGTATCTTCTGGATCAATGAATATACAGAACCAGATAACAATAGTTTTACCATACTTTTTCTTAATGACTGATATCGTATTCCAACTGTCGAGTGAATATGTCACTTTAAAGGAGCACGCAAAATTACGATAAAATATTGTAGATTAAACTGAACATTCGTTCCAAATAAAGAATTACTTAAACTTTGACCGATCTTATTATTAGAAAATAAAACATAAAAATGCTTCTGTAAAGTATGCAAAAAAATAATTTGTAAAGCTTACCACATAGCTTCCTCCAGTGTCTTTCTCTACCGCAACGTTTTGTCGCGAATCGTCGTCTGCTGGGTTCTCTGTACCTGAAATACAAATTTAAAGGATTCCACTCGGGTGATAGGTACCTGTCAGTATTTATTGAAAGGAATTGGGAACATTCTTCAATGGATAAAACGCGTGAAAATATCAATAAGGGTGGTGTAGAAAATATCAAGAAAACTATACAGAAATATCAATGACCAGGATATTTTAATATGGGATACGAACATTTCTATTTGAAAATAGAGCAAAACAAAATTGAGTATTGAATATTAATCAAAATATAAAACTATGTTAAGGATGTTAAACATTTATTTTAAAATTGAAAGACAAAAAAAGTGTTGAAATGGTAGGTATCGAACTTACCATCAATGAATCCAGACAAATCTCGTCCATTTTGATATACGAAACTAAAAATGTCTTCTGCATTGTCTACACTACCAGCAGGTAAACTGTTCAGGAATAATTGACTTAGTTCAAACAGTTTACTAACAGTGTTACATTTAGCATGGATGAAGACATCGCCACCTGAAAACAAATATAATATTGTCTGCCATAATTGTTTTACTTTTTTTGATTTAAGCATAAATCAGGCCGTTAGTTTCGCTTTTGAATTGTTTCACATTTTGTCGTCCCAGGGCTTTTTATAGCTTACAATACGGTATGTCGTACGGTGATCTGTAGTTTTTTCATCCTTGTCCATTTTTGCGTATAGTTGTCTCATTTGTAATCATACCACATCTCCATATTTTTAAAGTCAGGTAACCTTGTAATTATGGACAACTCAATACGAAATAATTTCAAATTCAATACCATATTACAAATTACTTGAAATGGTTTTCAACAAATAAAAAAAAAACCAATTTGTTCCACATCCGGATCTATCTTCATGATAGAATAAAGTTTTAAATTGGTAACATTTATTTATAGACAGCTACTCTTTTCGTTTATTATTCACAATTAAATAAACAAACTACTTTTTCTTTAAAAAGGGTTAAGTTATCCATCCAGAACATTAAAATTTTTACTCACCAGAGCTTGGCATTTCGCCTAATGTTCCTTTCCTGTAAGCGTATGTATAATTTTCTTTAGGATTACCTCCCAACTAAAATGCAAAAAAAAAAGATATTATTTTTATCTTTATAATGACATAATTCAAATACAGCAATATTTTACTATTGAAGTCTGTCTTCGTTGTTTCGTTATTGTTACTTTCAAATTAAAGCTCACTCAAAGAATCCCTTAAGACAAGTTAAAAGTGCAATAACTCAGAACGATAGCCATGAGATGACCAACAGTTGGTCCATCTAACGCAGAAATCACCATTGGTTACATTTTAATCCTGTAAAAAATAAAGTAATCTTTAAAAAATAATATTCATTGACAAGTATTAATACTAATATGTCAGTACAATGATATACCAGAATACGTACCTGTTTGTAAATATTTGGACCAAAGCCAACACCAGCCCATATTTCATCACTTTCATCACTCATTTTAGGATCTGTCACTTGATCTACCAAGTTCTGTAATTTGGCACAGGCACGCCCGACTTCTTTAACATTGGCAGTGGGTTTAAGATGAATCCAAAGATACAAAGCATGATCTTTGCCTTGTGAGAACACCTGAATAATAATGGCGTATAATTATTGTTTCATTTTATACATGTTTTAACGTGTACACCATTTTGATGTTTGACCAATTCATATGCTTCTTTAACACAGAATGAACGCATGGCTATAATTTGTATGTATCGCAAGAATTTAGAAGACAAGATTTATACATTTAAAGTTTGACACGGGTAATCTTTATGTATCTTTTTCGTTTTAATAATATTTTTTTATAATAAAATGAAGAATTATTTCAACAAGCTGATTTTGTTACCCATTCGTTTTATATTCTTATCTCATTACATTAATTCAGCTTTTCAAACTTTTGATGAATTTAGGTAAAATTGTGCATTGTATTACTTGAAAAATAAAACATTTTGTATTCCTTTGTTTTATGATGTATTTATACACAAAAGTTCATTTAAAACATGGTTGCTAAATATGAACCCAACACATGATAACCACTAAAGATGTCATTGATTACCTCTTTTCAAACTTAACCTCAATGAATACAGCCATTACTTTTGTCTTTATAGTACTACTGAGAGAACTTACAGAAGGTTGACTTGCTGGTGGTGCTGCAGCAAACACAGGTGTCGGAGTAACAGCACTGATGGCCTCGTCTACTGTTGTTTTAAAATTGTCTTTATTTTTATATAACCAACCGAGTCCAGTTCCTGCTGCTAAACCTCCAATTAAGAGAGGCTTGGAGAATCTTGAGATGGTTGAACGACTCGTTGCTAATCCTCGTCTACTACCTAATCAAAAAGACATAACTACCTTGAAATCACTAGTAAAGACAATTTAAAGGTTCAAATCGTCGTTTGCATACATGCATTGGCAATGTTGACTTTAAATTCAATTGACACATTTATTGACTTGTAAAAGACGAATCAAACTGTTGATAAAGAGATATGTTTCGCCTGATTAGCAGCAAAATAAAAAACATTAATTTGATAATATATTACTGCATGGATATATGATAGTGGGTATCGTATATCATTTTCAATTTGTTTTACAATGAACAATAGGATTTCTTCATATTAAGAAAAGTACGAATAAAAGAGAGAAGGAGAGAAAATGGCGTGCAATCGAAAAACGTATTTGCAACTAAGATACAAAAATTAAGAATTTAATTAATATAAAAAAATTCAGATATCCATGGTCTTTTGCAAAAATTAATTAAAAAAACTTTCTGAGGCTACAGCATGTCATAAATTAATGTTATATCACAAGTACTTCTTAAAAAAATGCCTTATTTTGTATGTATAAAAGTCCTGTCACTGAAGCATGGGTCAACACTCGTAAATGAGGTACTTCAATGTTTAAATTACAAATCACTGAAGCATGAGTATGGAGGTACAAAATAGTATGACGAATGTTTATTTTATTGTGATGTAAGGATGATGACACAATTATATATAAAAATATGTCAACTATACACGGGATAACAGTGTTATATTGGATAAGGACGGAATTTTACTGTGAAATAGATCTCCTATTTTCTTAATCATGCAAACAGATTCGTACTCTTCCAAAGTGATCATGGGGCATCGAATTAACTCCCATACCGAGCAAACGCGGTCTCGTATTTATACATCCAAATGAATATACGTTTTGGTCATATTGCCACACGGGGGAATTTAAGTTAAGCATATTTCTATAGTATACCCTGGGAGCCTTGATCTTTAATGCCGTAGCACAGGACTACGTCACGGATTTGTTGTTCTCTTAAATTTACCACGATGATATCGATGTATACTGTCAATTTGAAATATTTACTATCCACATTTTCAGTATATGAATGTGGATAGTAAATGTTATAATCACAATAAATACCGAAATAATTGTGGTAAGGTTGAAAAGATCGAAATGTGGGCGGTATATAAAATATATTAATATTAACAGAAAAAAAAAAGATTCTAGTGATCATCAGTCCCTTTCGTTTGTGTTAAGATATATTTCTAAATAATAACAAAACTATAAATGTCAATGAACCACATAAAGAAGACCGACATTTGAAACGATTCCCGGATACTAGTACTCGTGTATCATAGTGTGTTTGCGTGTGTAGGAAAAAGGGGTATGATATATCTTTCTCGGCTAAGAAATCGCTGAAATGCTGACATATAATATATTCATATATAAAAAAAATTGTATTTCCAAAAACTTTTATTTAATATAATGCAAACACCAGCAGATATATAATTTATAAATTTATAACACATAATGTAAACGTGACATATTTGCAATATGTAATAAAAGAACACGCATGACTAAGCAGTATCAATATCTAGGTTAAATTAGCTAAATCATTTCACTGATAATTTTATGATCATAAGACATTTGAATACTAAAGTTCATGTACTTTGAATAAATCAAAATGAACTGGTTTTCTCTGGGTTATTTTTTTTAATCAATTAAGGATTAGGCGATTATAGAATAGACATATATGATCCATAATGATGTAGGACAAAGTCATATTTATATAATTAAGAGATCCCCAGTGCAATGAACTTTCTTAATACTGGTAACAGTTCATTTATGAGGACATAACGGTGTACCCGGATCCTCTAATTGAAATAGCAATATATGCACAAAATACATTATCTGAAACGTATCCTTCATATCTGATAAAACAAAGATCGACTAAAACAAATTCCAACACGTAAACCGACGTTAATTAAAGTATATACCTGTTCATTAATACACAATGTATACGTGAGCAAATAAAATGTATCAGATAGACTTCTATTAATATACTGTCGTAAAAATCTATGTTTACAAAATAGTGTCTCTTTATTTGGCTTAATATATGTACGTTAAAGCAAAATATAAGTAAATACTTACATGAAAATGTAGAGTTAAGTTTGCCCAGCTGACGAACACTACCTCTTAACGCTGCCATGTTGGTTATATAAATTGTTTAAGATTTTAAATTGATAGCCGACCGATACACGGTGAAGGACAACTGGTAAGGTAGGTAATGTGATAGAATATGACATTGACCTTTTAGCGAAAAGTTTTCTTAGCGCGCTGAAATAAATTCGTATAGTCTAAACTAAATGATAAATATATTTATTAATAGTACAGAAGCACATGCATTTGTTTTGGTAAAACACGTGTGTTTGTTTACATCAACACGTGCTTTAGAATACCTGTAATGTTTACAATGGTATTCCATTGAATGAAATTTGTCATTGCAGGTATAATTCTCCGAATTAAAACAGGTATTCTATGTATCGTATGATTTTGGCTCGTGTTTCTCGTGCTTGCTGTTTCATATAAATTAAATGTAATTTATAATGTTATTATTCGAAGTTCTGCCTTATGCCCGGCTAGGTCACACATTCACGGATTTGACGCCGGATTATCTACGGATACGATCCGGCATCAGTCGTGGCAATCTGTACTAGTCCGTAGATTTCCGTATTGTAGCCGTAGTCATACGTAGTAGTACTTGTATATCCGTGACAATTTTTGATCATGCACAAAATTTGACCACGGATCAAAAAACCGTAGTATATCCTTACTAAACCGTATTAGAACGTATTGACCCGTTTTAGTCCCTATTAAAACCGTATTAATCCGTACTTATTCGTAGACCCGAAGGATTTCTACGGTTAGTTCCGGAGAACTACGTTCTAGTACGGTTACACCACGTATTTGTTAAGGATACAATACGGTTTGTTACGAATTTGTAACGGAACGGCACGATCTCATTATGTTGCATTACGGATAGCTAGGGATCAGCCAGGGTTCTCAAAGTCTTTTACGGTTAACTACGTTACAACACGACAAAACACGGAATATTAAGGTCCACGACAAACTTACATCGGGCTTCTGTATAAATACTCCCTGCTTATAGGACCAAAAGTAGACTGTGTCTTGCTTAGAGGTATATATAACATTATCTAACCTCCTATACATTTCTAGGAATGTGATTGGTTAAAAGCAACCGCGTGGAGACCGTGTATATTTCATATGGGGTTAGTAGGCGGAGATTATTTCAATACACGGTTAGTAGTGGTGTTACGTCCCTTTATAAAAAGAACACGGTGTTGAGGACAAATCTGAAAGGTTTCAACCGACGAAGAAATTGATGATGAACGATTGAAAGAAATACATAAAACACTTTTAAAGCTTACACGTTGTTATTGTTGGCATTTGTTTTTGTATAGGTATATACCAATTGAAGTAGGTTGTTAATACTAAGTATTGAATACTTGGTCATTTTGATAGGCCATTTGTCTAAATACCACATGTTAAGATAGTCGGTAAGATAAATTCGTTACACAGTGTGCTAGTGACCTAATACGATATATATGGAGTCAGTAAATTCCATATCCATGTCGTCTATGATACATCCTGTCTCCATTGACAAAGTGTTCTTATCGGGTAGCTTTCACTGACTTTGTTTTTAGTCCTAGTGTCACAGGTTTTAGGTTTGGTCCGGCATCTTTGGATGGATTTAGATTTATTTTATTTGTTTTTCACTCCGTTTCTAGTCATGATTATAGTCATTGTCGTGGTATTTTGATAGTTGATCCGCCGTTCGCGATTTTTTTCTGTAGAATTCAAACTTAGTGGTGGGGCTAACAGACGAGATGGCAGACCGGAATTGGTTTATTTCTTTATTTGATTAATTTATTGGGTCAGGTTTACTTTCGCGTCTGTTATTAGTAGTGCGTGCTACTACGCTTTTATCACTTTTCTAATGCTTTATTCTGTTGTTTCGTTGTTTTTCCTGTTATAGTTGATGTGTTTCCCTCGGTTTTAGTTTGTAACCCGGATTTGTTTTCTCTCAATCGATTTATGACTTTCGAACAGCGGTATACTACTGTTGCCTTTATTTATGCATTTTCAGAATCTTTTTGTTGGTCTTTAGAATCTTCTGCGGTTATTTTTTCCTCCATTTTTTTTTATTTTCAATAAGCTTGTGTTATTTAAACAAATTGATTCCGTTGCAATATTAACTGAATTTCATGTTCAACGTTTTTTTCCTCTGATAAATATTTGCCTACTTTTACTGTCTTTTATGGAGTTGCTGTTTTAATTTTACAATTTCGGAACTTAGTCTCTTGATCTGGAATGTTTCTACCTTAATTGATACAGGATGTTTATGTCATGTACATCGAAATACTTGATATACAGTATTGGACAATTATGGAAACACCTGAATGTTGCTCGGCATACTTTAATATGAGATTAAATGTCTTAAACATCTCCTATTTATTGTAAAATCACAGGTTCTTGACTCTCAATACATGACGGCTTGGCTATTTAATGTCTCAAAAAATTATTTGTTAATAGTTTTGATACATCAATTCAAATAATTCAGATGTCTTTTTTCCAAAAGAGAGACGACAAGATTTTAATGGGAACTATAGTTGTCTCGACCGAGGTTTCGAAAGCTACTTGTAATTTGAGTTGTTCTGCATAATATTTTTTTAATTGGTTCATGTAATATCTAGGTTTAAGGAAAATTTTAAGACCGAAAGTATGAATTTCTTTGTGACTGTATACTTTATTTTCCATGAGACATTTACGAGGACTGGGGCAAGATAAAGAGGTAGGGCCATTTTCCCGTGAGTTTTTTTCATTTGATTAGCTAGGTAAATCATGTTTTTAAATAGCCCGATAGATGCTAATTATAGTATATGAAAACACGTCACATCATCTATTTTCATACCTTGAACAGGTTTTCCTACAATAATCAAAGCCAAGACTTTTGATTTTTTTTGTTTATCAAAACCAATATTGATTTTGTTTGTTAGTGCCCCTGAGGAGCATTAAAATATGAATTATCAACTAATAGATATTCAAAACTAGTTTTGCATTAAACAAAAAAACATGGTGCTTCAGTTAGCGTGTTAATGTTGGTAGGTGTTTTGTAGCGTACATGTATTTCACAGCTTCGTTTAACTTAAAACTAACAAAATATTAAACAAGAATGTGTCCATAGTACACGGATGCCCCATTCGTACTATCATTTTCTATGTTCAGTGAACCGTGAAATTGGGGTAAAAACTGTAATTTAGCATTAAAATGAGAAAGATCATATCATAGGGATCATGTGTACTAAGTTTCAAGTTGGTTGGACTTCCACTTCATCAAAAACTACCTTGACCAAAAACTTTAACCTGAAACGGGACAGATGGACGAACGAAGGGACGGACGGACGGACAAACAAACGAACGGACGCACAGACCGAAAAACTGAATGCCCCTAAGTGGCGCCTAAAAAAGGGTGTTAAATATAAATACAAGAAACATATAATAATCTAATTATCTGATATAAATCAGCTATATCTATACACTGTTCCGGCTTTTAATGTTTACCGTCTATATAAACCGGACAACAGCTTACACCAGTTGGTACTAGAACGGCTTGCGTAACAAACACATGTAACCTGGTCTTTTCTGCATGGCATTGTACCAAATGGATCGACCCTATGTTGTGATACAGATTCAACACTTTCTTGATATTTTAGAGTAATTGATTTTTTCTATGGTGTTTTTTCATTTTCTGATGACTTATATAGGTTCCGGTGTAGGGACGGTGGTACAATGTAACAATGTCAGTACTAGTATCTACACAGTTGGTTGATTGGCGATAAAATTACTGTCTGCATTTGTTACATATCATAACATTTTCTAAAACGTTCTTGTTCAAGATTTAGAAAAAATATTTTGTTGTTTTGAAATTTTTCTGATATGGCCTTTTTTCGTTAAGTGTATAACACAAACAACAGTTGGGCTTCATTGCTATATAATCAATTCTCGTGTTATTGGTTATGTACAGGCACCTACTTCAGTGTGACTCTTTGAATTAAACAAACATCCGAAAAAATGTGATAGAAACATAACAATTTAATATTTCAACATAAAAAATGAGAAAAATTAGCGTGAGATTTGAACCCCATCTTAAAAACAATCAGTATTTACAGTTTTAAGCGCTACCGATGGAGCCACGGCGACTCTTGAAAACATAATTGATATTAAGCAGCTATATAGGTAAAATTTAGTGATGTTCCACTTTTTATAAAAAAAAGTTGTATTTTAGGTTTTAAGGACACACTATAAAACCAATTTCATTTTTGAGGGGGAAAGTTGTATAAATTACAACAACATTAAAAAACATAACTTTGTTTAGAGTTTAAAGTGTCCTTCTAGGGAGATTCCCTGTTTTCCAACCTAAAAACACGGTAAATTCCGCATATTTGACTTTCATCTTTTTTTGGAGGTTAAATTAACTATTTTCCAGACATAACATAATACATAAAAATCGAGATATGGACCAAAAAACATTTTTATTTCTTGTTTTTATCGTAAATTTTATTCTTTCAGCACTTTTTGAAATTGGACCTTTTGTGAAAAAATTTCAGGGTAAAATGGCCCTACCTCTTTCAGTTTTATACCCGTCTGATCTTTAAATCTACCGATTGTGTCCTGTTCCCTATCGTGACATTTTGACTTAACTGTAGTCTGGATTCACATGGCGGGTGATGCATGCATAGCATGAGACGTTTACCCTGTCGATGTATTCGGTCCCTCTCCTTTTGGAATTCATGCGATCAAGGAGATTGTCTCATACAACCTCATTGAAGCGATTGACTCAGGTTTTTCATTGGATTTGCATACTAGTACTGAAATTTAATTTACGAGATTTGAACATCGGTATACCACTATTTCCTCTTATCTAATGAACTTTCCAAAGAGGGTTTTGTGAGAGGTGTTTAACCAAGGTTTGTAGGTTCTTAAACATATTAAATTCAGCATCATATTCAGACGTTAATCGTATTTTCTTGAATATTTAGCGAGCTGTCATTTGAAATTTACGTCCTTTGAGATCGTACACATGATGTACAGGTATATAATATTTGTAGATTTGCGTTAAGCAACAATCAATCAATCAAATTTTATTTGGGGTGAAAAATCGAATCATTCTCTTTGGTTGGTGTCTTCATTCCTTCCAACTTATTGTGGTGTATACGT